CAGAATATTTCACAAATATTAATATCCCTTTCAAGTTAGTTTTAACACGCACCACACACAGAATTTGTAAGTATTTTTTTAAGGACTGCATTTTTGAAATGTTAGACGCTAAGGAATGACTTAATTGAAAGTTAGTGATCAAACCTTTTTGGTTTGCAATTAATTCATTGTCGATTCGTTCTAACATAATAGGCATATACAAAAAAAAATAACTATGAAGGCCCGTATTTCAATGGAATAAGGGATTGACAATAATTTTAGGAACAAAACAAGAATCGAATAGAATGAAAAGTAACGAATTTTCAATATGTATGGATGTGAACAAACGTCCAAGCTTGAATTAAAAACTTAAAATGACAGTACTCAATCAATCAATCATCTATTTTTGGAATTATATATAGACCTACAAAACAAAACAAGTACAGGATAAAATGAAAGTTAAAGTTTTGACAAAAAAATACATTATTCCTATTCTGAATAAAATGTACCATTGGCCTAAATCCCATATTGGCATAATTGGCATAAATCCCAATACATAGGCCTATTCCTATACCGTACCGATCTATCTTCACATTTCCGCTCAAAGTTCATCTTATTGGCTTCTCCATGCTATTATGATTTCAGATCATAAACCCCAACAACGAATTATGGATATGAGTAAATATTCAGGGTGGAAACATTTTGACAATTTGAATATTTGACTACCAGGCACTGAGCTATCCAACTACGGGTGCCCTCTGTCACTGCTGTTACACACAGGAAGGAAACAATAGCCAAGACGAGAATCGGACAGCTAGTCAAATCATCTCACAGGGAAGAAAGACTTGTTTATCTCTGAAAACACATGGAATTGTAGATGAACATTTCGTACAAGAAGGCAGTCAATTTAATGTTACAGTTCAAAAGTGTTTCTATCAATCGAAGACTTAGTTAAATCTGTGCTCCTTCAAACACGGATATCTGTCATTCTGAACTTATTTATAATGTTTTGGAGATAAGAAAATCAATTATTAGATTTAGGATTAATATGCCTAAATCATATTGAGAATTACAGTTATGAAGGATTCCAGAGGGACCCCCGTTTTTGACTGCCAGAAGTGACTTGCCAATTTAAAAAAATTACAAAATCTACGTCTCCCTTTCCTAATCCCCCTTCCTTGTACCTATCCCTACGTTCCTCTAGGCTGTATCAACCCTCTCACCCTCTCTCTCTCTGTAAGTGTTCCTACGCATGTGCCCCACCACTGTACGCTTTCTCTCGTGGTCTTCCGTGATAATCCCCTCCCTTCCCTCCCTTGCCACACTTTTAGAAATGCTGGTTCTATCTCCGAATACTTTCACAAATGATTGATATTTGGAAATACAATTAATAATAATAATGTGTCGTTCTTATATAGCGCTTCACATTACTACCCCGGTCATTGGATCAAACACATGTGGAACACATATTGATCACCAAATTAAATTATTAAATTAAATTATATTATTATTCCATAACATTGCAGCTAGTAATAAGTGCAGTTATGTTGAAACCTACTAGGTACCGGTACCCACTTGTACTCCTGGGTGGAGAGAGGCAACCGTAGATAAGTGCCTTGCCCAAGGACAAACGATTTCCAATTGATGAATTCATTAGCACCATTGTGTGTGTTAGGCATATAGCGGAATAAGATCATTTAAATTTAAAATATACAAATATATTAAAATAATAATGATTATTTTCATGCATGATTATCATTTCTAAAAATAATTCCATCAACATTATTTTGTATGGGTGAATGCTTTACATTATCCCGACATTTGGAAGCAAATTGCTCGCCACTGTATTAGTATTTTACAGCTGCTATATTAGTCAGAATTATTGAAATATCTATCAATGATAGTTACTTGACTAATTGTCATAATAGTTTTATTTAATCGTACGCTTCCAGTAATGAACTTAATGCGACGACATTTTGTTCGAACGTTGCAATTTATGAAAAGGGTATCGTTGCAGCTGTTTCAAAGATCATCGCCTATGTTCCATTTAATTTCAATCGTGATTATGAATACGATTATCAACAGTTATGCATATTTCATTTTTAATTTTCTATTATTGAGCTTAAAATCAAACACAGACATTAACATTATTTATCATTTATTATCTTAAAGTGACATTAAGACACATACACTTATCACACCCAATCACAGGGGAGGGAACACGGGATATTTACATTTAAATATGTATATCTGGGTGAATTTGGCCCAGTCAACAGTATAGTCTGGGAAAAGGAATGACACATTTTTCGAACGGTTTGATATCGCATCAACAATTATTTCAGGAAACAGACACAATAACTGCAATCGAATTGATATCTTAATTCGTTCAGTTACAGTCATGTACACTGTTTTAGACGTGTGTATAAGATGTGTACACTATGTTCAACGTGTGTACACTATGTTAAACGTGTTTAAATGAGGGGTGCTTGACCGTTTTCCCCTAGTCTTCTCTGTGAATATAAAATATGGGTGGATTACCGCATAGCCTCAACGTTTTGTGTATTTCCTGATCAACAATCAGTTTGGAAATATATTTGTTTATATAAGTGTGTTTATACAAACAAAAAGGCATAACGTCAGTAAAGACATTTAAATACTCTGTATTGTTAACTAAATTAAAATTAAATACGTTAGGCGTAAATTCAGGCTTTGTTTTGTGGTATATTTCCTTGTTCTCTTATGGCTTATGTTTTTTGTTGTTGATAATTTTAGATTATTTTCTATCATTGCATTATGCTGAAAATAAATACATAAATAAAATATTAGTAATTTATATTATTTAGAGTATTTTTATATTCTTAGATATTCAATGCACATACAAATGATTGTTGGCACACATCAAGTGATAGCAGGTTAATGTCGCTAAGTTCGTTAATCGTCTCCGTGGGATAGGCACTTTAACGGGGAATTGTATCTGACAAAACGAACTAGAAGTGTTCACGATAAATCTGACAATTGTAGAAAAGAAATTCAAAGACAGGCTGCATACATACAGCGTAGTCTACTAACATCGATTTAGTGTATCGGTCGGCAGACTACGAGCTTATTAACTTTATCAGGAATCATAACTCGTTCATTTCCAGTTGTATTTCCCGCGAGAACGTCTGCTGAATTGAGTTGCGATGGTTATTAAACGTTTATTAAACATCAACACGCAAGCATACACATAACTGTAAATGTTTTCATTCGGAATATGTGAGATCTGCTTAATAATACTGAAAAACAACAATGCTTTTAATAAAACAATGAAAATCGCCTCTCCCCTCTAGACCACCATATTTATAAGCCAGACCAAGTTGTACAATGGCAACATGGCTATTTGAATATATAAGTAAAATATACTTACCCGAGATACTGATCTAAGGACATTTCATAAATTGTATATATATACTGTCATATACATCAGAAATAGTGCCTCATTCCTAGAAGATGAATAAAAAAATAATTAGAACGAAGAGTGATTTTCCTTAAAATATCAAACATAAACACGAAACGTAACTTATTTCCTTTGCATATAATTGTGGGTGAGCAAGGGAATTGGTCCCAGAAAGAATTCTTCCTTATTAATGATGACACGAAGAAAATATTATAAAGAATTATAGACGATTCTTAAGTAAATATTTTCAATAAATGATGCTGTTAAATCAAAGGACGACATTCCCTCGGAGTACAAATCCTAATGCATCATGGGAATTTACTGTCAAAGTTACTCAACTGAACAAACTGCTACATAGGATTTAAAGGGAATCTTGTCATAACCTCTTGCTATGTCATATTGTTAATTTTAGAGAATGCCTATATGGTCATATATGCTGAAAACCGCCAGTAAAATTATGAAAACTCGTAGAAAACTTAGTAGAATGAATAGTTAGTTAGATGAGCCAACATAAAAATGACGACAGGTCAAAACAGATGAGCCATTTTAAGAACTTTCTGCAAATGCATAGGAAAAAGAATAGGCTACGTATCCCACAAACCATCACAACCTATTATCTAGGTCTCACAAGTTATAAGTCATGAAAGCGAGTGCTGATATAATTGATTAGCGTTAAATTGGTCAGGCAACAAGGGACATCCAAACAAGGCAGATCGGTTATTTAACATGAGTAGACCTATCGCAGATTCATTTCAGAGTTCTTGATTCTTGTCTTGTTATCAATGCTACGAAAAAGGTAACTTAAGTTCAGCTGAGCTGCAGGAAATAATTAAAGGTGTACTGTGCTAAGCAGGTTTATGTTGAAAATAAGAAGTAACTATAGTACAAAGTTAAGAGATGTTTTAGTAACTTGTGAAGCACATTGATAAAGTGTTTAATTACAGTTTCAATCTTGTAATAATATATTTGCTCTCGAAGCACTTTGGTCACGTAAATATATTATATATATTTACATAATCTGAATTAATGTATGTTTCAATTACAAATCAACTACAGATTTACCAACCCTGTTGAGCTAAACAATAAATGTAATTACTCTATTATTTCATACTTTCTGTACATGAATTTAAGTAGTTTGCTAGCTTACAACTGAAATGAATAAATATTTGCATCGTCAAGAACATTTCCATTGCTGCTATAGGTTTTTTTAATTTAATTTTACTTTGTTTAATAGGCCTATATCTTGAATTTTTATAACAATGCTGTTTAATCTGTTTTAAATATGTTAATGCTTGTTTTTTTGTATAGAAGTTTTATAATAATGTAATAATAGTAATGGAATATCTTAAATATTTTATGTCTTAAATTTTAACACTGTTTGATGTCTTGCCAAGGAAAGCAATTTTCATAAAATTCAGTATAATCTTTAAATTGGCCGACAATTAAAAAAAATTATAAGTTTCGATCTGTATCTTATTGGAAGTATATATTTCAATTAATACAATTGAATATTTTAAGCAGTTTTTTGAGCGGTTTTCGACTATTATTACATACAGTAACCTTTAACGAAAATTAAGAATCAGAATTTTATATAGCGAATAATTTATTGATTAAAAAAAAAACCAGTTTAACATGTGACTCAATAATAAAGACAACAGTAACAGGTTATGTCTGAAATTGTTTGGTTGTATTTTAAAATTTACAATGATAATTACTTAAAATATTTATTGACATACAAGTAGAAATCGCCGGATTGTTTTAATACTGACAATGGAAGAAACCTAAGGTGCATGGAGAAAATAAAATAGATTACACTAGCAGCTGGTTATAGTATGGTATGGTGCCCGTCTCTCAAATTACAGTTAACAGACATGGTGGATACAGAAGTGAGGAGGAGGAAGGGGTTTGCAAAAAGGATATGCGACCCTCCGCCACAAAATGAGTCACATCGTGTTGAACTGTGATGGGAACATGAATTTTGGCGAATTTGGTGTTACCATAATTGGTAAATCAAGTAGAGTAAAGAAAATGTTCACCGGAATCGAACCAGTGACCTTAAGAGTACGGTTCTAGAGTTCTGCCAACCGAGTCAAACCGCCCCATATTTGATATTAGTTGTTGCAGGTGCGCTGTATTTTCTTTGCCATTAAAATTGACTAATATTTGAACCCTCATTCTCCAAACACCGTTTTCATACATGCTGAACTTTGACAGGGTCATGTCTCCAGTTCTATCTGTATGACTATCAATTATTGAAAAGTAAGGTTGTATATAATGACATATATGGCATTTGTGGTTACTGGGCCAACTAGACCTGTATTGTGCTGATGACACATATTCCTTACCCCTCCACTTGGTGTTTCCCTCTATTTAACAATCATGACTGCCCTTGAAGAGAAGACTCAAAGTCTACCTCTTAAAGTACCAGATGACGGTACATTTGTTTTTGTTTGTTTTGCGTTCATTTTTATGTTCCAATCTTTAATTTGTTTACATGTTTTAATAGCTTTCACCATTTATATTATTGTCTGGAATTGTACACAATATATCCACAATAACCAAAATGTTTACAGTATTGACGACTCACCTCAATGTCATTGAAAACACAACATAATAAAAACGAGACATATAAATACCAATTTAAGTACGTTTACATTGTTGTCTTGTGGGATTGGGCGGCAATATCAAAGGGGGAGTGTTTAGTGAAAAGGTCCACTACCAAAATACTGATCCAGTGTCCAGATAACAGAACTTTATAAAAATAATTAAAAAACATGTTACAGTAACATATTTATTTTTTAGCAAATATAAATTTTACATCATCCATATAAAACATCTCTCAATTGTTTGTAAAGTCTTGCATAGAAAGTTAAGACTTTGCAAATAAAATGTTTAAAAGTTATTTACACTTTTTACAAATCTTTCAGTTTAAAGTTCTCTTTTAATTTACAAGCAAATTGCATCAATATTTCTATTTCCAAGAATAAATAGGTTAAATTAAATATAACATACAAAAAGAAAAACAAAACAACAAAGCTTTAAATATTATTAAACATTAGTTCAACTAATTGATGTGAATACAAGGTTATTGACCTTTTGAGATGACCTCTTTAGTTGTTGACATTTACTTGCCCAATTTTACAACTGTTGACATTGTATTTATGAGGTTACAGTAATTTAGCAATGGCAACAATTGTGACAGAAAAAGAATTTACAAAACAGGACATGCTTTCATATATCATTAAAAGTGAAGTCCAGTGGTGTTCAACATGACCTTTTACAATCAATCATAATCCATCAATCAGCCTCTTAAAATCTAGTCATATGACCAAAATAAACCAATCAAAGCTAGCCAAGAGGTTTCCCTGAGCATATTTGAGTCACAATGTCACATGATCACTGTTAACCAATCAAAACCAAATTCTTAATACATCTACACAGGGTTTTTTTACCTAATCGGATTGGTTAGCTAGAGTCACATGACAATGCTAACTAATGGAAATACACCAACCAAGTAGATACTAATTATAACTTTGCAAAGTTATTTGTACTTTATGATGAGTCTCATAATATCCATCTGTACACACATACACAATGGAGGTAAATCCAGGTGAGTAGACCCTACCCAATATTTGTCCAGATGGGTATAAGCTGAGGTTCCCAAGGACCTCTGCATTCCAGGTTCAACAAGTTGTACCTTAATCATAATGTTTCATTCCTCTAGGCCTGGGATGATTGACATTCATCTATGCAGACTACATTTAAGCTGCCAAGTGTCACACTGATCACTATGCCATCCAACAGGCTGCTTCAGAGTTCATTGTCTGAACAACTGCATCATGGGAAATTTGGCAATTTTCTCAGAAAACATGAACAGAATAATAGCAACTTGTTGTTGAACAGTTATAAAACAGAGTGAAACAAAAACAATTCTATTAAGATTGTTTGCATTCTCACACATTAAGTCACACCTGACTACTTAGTGTCTGCCTCTCATAATGTTTTATGGTGTTCTCCAGGAACTCAATTCATAGATCACATATCCGGTTCAGCAATATCTCCGAGTATAACGCATTTATGTCACCGTGAACATGATAATTGTAGGTGTCTTCCGTCATTCCGCGTCGGTATATCTTGACACGTTTCGTCTGCGGTGGTTGCGGCAGGGATCCAGGTGTTGTACCGACTATCTCCTGAACCTAGTTTTTGGAGAAAAAATAAAGTTATTAATGTAAAGGATATTAAAACATTTATGTTTATGAACATTATGAACTAGAAGGCTTGAAGCTATGACTTGGTGATTAAGGTGTCTGAATGTGTAACCTATTGCTTCACTTTGAGTCCTAAAGTGGGTACCTTATAGGTTCAAATAAAAAAATGCACTGATTAAAGCTGCAACATTATGGAATTATCCCCAGTTACCCGAGTATGTGTTCCATATGTGCTTAATCTAATGACCAGGTATAATAATGTTAAGCACATGGAGGTCTCTCAACCAGTATTATTATTATTATTGTTATTATTATTATTATTATTATTATTAAACAGGCCCCAAGGGCAACAAAACAACCAATTATACACTTTCTATTGGACCATGTATATGCAAACAATTCTGACACTGATTTCTACAGATACAGTAAACTTCTTTTTGATTGATTAGATTCATTATGTGCTATTAATAAATACTGGATAAATATATCTAACTGGGATTTGAACCACGGACTTCTAAAATACAGGATGATTACCTTGAGTTTATAATTACATTCAACACTACAGAGATGCTGGGTGGGTATCATACTCAGCAAACAAAACCCATGATGCATTGCAAATCACTTACAACACTTCTACCTACAGCAGGGAGTTTCATGATCAAATTATTGTGCTTATGACTTGAGGGTTAAGGTGTTAATAACATCACAAAAATCTGATTTTAGGAGCGGAGGCATTTTACAATTGCACTTATCGCTCACGTTCAACAGAATAAAGCTGGTAATCAACAAACTATCAACATCAGTCTATGGGGGACCGATGTTTATGATGTCTTCGGTATGCAGAACATTGTTGACTGTTCTCTTGGTGGTTTCGCCAACGGAAATTCACGGCTCAATTATGTTATAGGATTACAACGTGACATTGGGCTGAGGGATGTAGCCATGCATAGATTTCAGTCAACTCAGTTAATACAAAGTTTATACTGTAATTGTTAATTAGGGCATGGGTTTAGCATATAATGTTTTGTTCATTCTTTTTCTGTATTCAAATTGAAGTGGACAACAATATACATACCTCGTAACACAATACAAATAATGATTAAATGATTAGAACAAAATATTTAAAAAGTAATCAAATTTGGGATGATTATTGTACATTGTTTACGAAAGAATTTCTAAAATATTTTCTAATAATGTAATTTACAAAAAGATTAAGTGAGTCAATGATGCCATAATAAAACAGATTAAAATATATTAATGAAATTTTTGGCAATTACCATACTGTGTTTAAGAAAGACTAGTTAACATATTTTCTTTTGATGTAATTTAGATTGAAATATAAACCGAGTCTGTGATATCCGACACAGTATTCTCTCAAGGCTTACACTCCTTGTTTGCACTTACAATTCACTGTGACGCGTTTTCAACATTTATTTCTGTTTCAACATATTTATGCAACTGTCTTCAAAAGTCAAATATGATTAGCTTAAACACATATACTGCCCTCATGCAAGTTTTAAAAGCTTGTCTGAACTGTCAACTGCCCGATTTTGATGATTCTTTTATAATTTAAGCTAAGTTACACACATTGCCAAGCCAATAAATGAATGTCTCACAGTTTTTGAATTGCGGGAAATAGCAGAGCCTAGACGAATATGGTTCCCATTGAATCATCAAATGAATAACTTAAGTCTAAAATCTTACCTCACACCTTACCTATGATTTTCATGTCATAGGTCTAAAATGTATCAACAAAAACATAATCTAATTTTATAACTTTCATACACAATTTTTAAATTTTAATACAATATTTGCAAGCAATGTGACATTTTGATAAATAATATAAAGAATAAAAAAAAAACTTTAAAAGTCAACTGGAAGTGACATCACCATATTAATCATACTACAAATATGAATTCATGCAGTCTGTACTTATTTGAAATCTGTGACAAGGACAAAATAATAAACTCATCACCAATTAATCTAGTATGAATCTAGTTTTCTTGCCTAAAAAAACATCTTTTTACCATTTAATTTGTTTTTTTAATTTATTAAATTTTATGAGTAATAGTAATAGCGATCTACGAGATTAATACAGGGCGCTATATTATTCAGACTTATATATTAGTATTATTATGCCTACAGAATATTACACAAAATAAATTTAAATATAGTACTTTACAAAATAAAAGAATTGCTGGATCAAATTCGGAAAAAAAGTAAAAAAAATATTGGTTTATTGTCCCCCATCCACTTCCATTTTTAATGAAGCCAATTTTTAAAAAATATTAAAAATGTATATAATATTGAAGTTTTTCCCAACTTTACAGTCATTCTTCTTAATTGCTAAAATAGTTCATTATTTAATAGTGGTAAGTCCTCTTTCTCCTCTACTTGGCTTGTGTAGATCACAATCATTATACAGTAACAACTCCATTTGGTAAAGTGGACAGTCAAAAAAGAGCATTCTTCCTTTGTTTATTCGCTCTAATAAAATATAGACTCAGACTTGGTTAAGTTTCAATTTGCAAACCATTTTTTTTTAAATAAAAAAAAACTATTTAGAAATTACATGGGCTGTCAATCTAACAAAATACAAAAATAACAAGAATTATTGGATCAAATATGGAAAAAAATGTATGAAATTAATTAGATTATTGTTTTCATCCTCTTCCCATTATTAACTGAAAGCCAAGTTATATATATGTAAAAAAAGCATATATTAATTAATTCTTCCCAACTTTCCTTCCATTCTTCTTAATTGCTGGGATAGTTCATTACTTTATAGTAGTAATTTTTCATATTCCTTACCAACATGACAACTTGATCTGATAAATCCGAGAATCAAAAAAGGGGCCTGTCACTCTAACATAAAGTCTAAGCCAGAGGAAATCCAACCCCAGCAGACATACCACAATATCTCTAACAAAGTACAGCATAGGCCATATAAAAAAGCCCCAAGCTCCATATGTCCTAGAAGTGAATGTATATTTTATATGCTCAATTATTCAATCATCATATCATTATATTTTTTTTCAAACAAAGTTTGAATTCAATTCTGTATTTCCTGAGGTGATTGTTAATCTCATTTGAAGAAAATATTGAGCCTTTGGAGAAAATATTATGTGAGGAAAGCCTGTTTTTAAGATCAGCATTTCTGAAAAGTTAGGCTCCTGTTGGTGAAATGTTTGCCAAGATTTAGCTCAAATAGGAGTTGACATAAGTGATAATTTCACTTATGGTGTTGATACAAAGTGGAATTCCAAGCCAAGCGAGGTGGGAGGTTTGGCGAGAACTCTACTTGTCCATGTTTTTATGAGATTAAGTAATTGTTCACATGGATTGATTAGTAATAAGTCTATTTGTCATTTTACTTTCTGTGCTCTGCCTCTATAGCTATATACGACAACATTAAATTTTAAATTGCCTACTTTTGTATATTTATATAAGTTATTAGCTTCTACAGTATATATCAGATATTTAGCAAAACTAAGACCTCAATAGCTAAGACCCAAGAAAAAATTAAGGCAACTCTCACATTATCACGACCTAGCACTGCGACCGTACTGACCTGTGGTCGTATCCGACTGGAAGTAGGACCTGACCTCTTGTCATTTATTGGTGGAAAGTAATAATGGCCACTTTAGCCAAATGATTACGACACGTGTGAGAGCGACTACGATTAGACTGACGACCAGTACCGACCACAATAAATTTTTCAACATGTTGAAAACTCCGAGACCATGTAGCAAGTTGCTTTTAATTGCTGTCACACTATCACGACCTGGTCACGACGGTGTCAGTCGTGTACTGATTGCAGTGTAGGTCTTGATAGTGTGAGAGTAGCTAATAAGACTGCCTGATAATAATAATGTACTATTATCAGCCTTTCCTAGGCTGTTAAGTGGAAGATTGTAACCTCATACAAACACACACTAGTAACCTTTGAACTTTTGTAGTTGTAGCTGTAAAACTGTGTGCTTTAATACATTTGTCAATCAATTTTCAAAAATTAGTTGAAACCCCCATCTACTATTATTCCAGAGAGATTGGGTCCAAATCCTAATAAAGTTAAAAATGAATTCTCAAATTTTTCAATCATCTTTGTAATGATGCAAATTCAGAAAGGCGACAAACCAATTACCATAATACTTCCAAAAGTGATGCAATTGGCATAAACTACTGTCAAATGTTAACCCAGTTTCCAACTTGGCGAAGGCCATGTGGTGATATATAGGAAGGGGCAACAGTTTCAAAGTCCTCTGTTGTCAATATGTCAAGTTCGATTACTTCCCCTAGCTGATAACAGTCCTTCAACTGGTACTTTCACATGAGAGGACCTATGACTTGGTCCAATGAATTCCTTCTTCGGTATAACCTACGATACCCTACTTGTTTGCAGTTTTATGTATTGATCATTGCAAGTAAGGTCTGCAAGGTACGACCGTCATACGTAGAATCCAAGTTCCCTAGCTGTGAATGCTACACAACACAGTGCCGCCTGTTGATTTTCGGTGGCAGTTTGAACAGTTTAAAAACGATCTGATACACTTGCATCGTGTTGTTACGCTCTTCATAAAATCACGTTAGCCAATGACTGTCAGGTACATTGAGTGCCTGGCTTAACGTAAAACGAAAAATCCAAAAGTGGAATTCAATGCACTAACATTTTCACGAGTCACATTAACATTGAAAATGTAAGGGGTGTGGTGCAGCGCTAAAGGCTGTGGGTTTTTAATCAAGAGGATGTGAGTTCAAATCCAATGCTGATCCCATTCAGTGGCGTACCCAAGATTTTGAAAAGGGCAGGGGGGGGGGGGGGGGGGTACTGAAAAGAAATATTAGGGAGCTTTTGATCGAATGACGGTAGGACGTCGAATGTAATGACGTCACTAAAATTCATCTGCACATGCGAGAATGTTAAGGCCACCTCGTCGAGTAGATTCTGGTATGCAATTTGGCCAAACCAACGTATGCAGAGAACGTAATACGCCAGGTAGGACGGTCACGCATGAGTGATTCCGTTCCAGCATCGCATAGTCTCACAAACCGAAAGCTCCCTATTACATGCACTGAACTTTACGCAAGGCGCAAAACTCTAGATGGAGCATACGTCCAACGAACTGGTTGTCACACAATAAATTGGTTAACATCTAAAGTAACTTACTTTCCCATTTATTTCCATTATTTACTAATATTATGTTTACTATTATTTTCTATGCCACTGGAATTTGCTAGTAATGTCCTTGACTTGTAAAAGTTTACATATTACTTTTTGTGTTGCTCTGCATTTTCTGTTTCAATATATTTTTTATTTCATTGTGATACCAGGGAACAGTTAAATTATAGTATGATACAGTACAGTAGTGATTTGACAGGTTGAAAAAATAATTCTTCCGCACAACCCTCCCTCCAAAAAACCCAACAAAACAAACAATGCCAGGCTGGTCTGAAATATGTTTCAAATCAGCCAACTATTGTGATCTAAAAACCTAGTTTTCCTGAAAATGAAACCAGTTAACGGCATGTTTCCATCGTCATCCATGGCCTGTCGACCCACGTGGCAGCCCTGCTTGAATAACAAATTAGCACCAGTCTTAGGGTTGAGTCTGCTAAGTTGCACACGGAAACCAGACCCAATTCCTGGAAAAAAAACTGTCTGAGGCCTAACTGATTTTAAGATGGTTATCCAGGTAGATAGCTGGAAGTGCTGGTAAATGGTAATTTGTAGTAGTTTGCAGGTTTTTATAGTATATTTGAAGATTTCTATTGATCAAACACCAACACTGATTACAAAAATCAGCTTTATATACTACTGATGACACTGTTTCCAAATACAAAATTTAATATGTAATTTCACAAACTTATTAAATCTGTATATTATCAAGTTCCACCTTATAGAACAGTAAACCTTAAGTTTATAGATTTTTCAACCGTAACTGCCTTGATCATAACATTATGGCATTATGATACATAGTACAATACTTAAACTCCAGATGCAATAATTTAATCAAGTCAATGCCAGGATATTCCCAGCTGTAACTCAACATACAATTTACACATTGTTAATATCTGTATGTATCTATTGTAAATTGAAGGCTTAGTATCATGTTACATGTTAATATTTCTATGCAGGGGAAGTTGGTAATCACTTCAAGAAAGGGTGGCTATGCTGATACTAATTACGTTATTCTTATCTCTATAAAAATCTGGATTTTTTAGATTAACATTCTGAATTGGTGCATTATTTCCATTCAAAGTCAATGACTCAGTGACTATTGGAAGCATGTGGTGTAACAGTAGAGTGCCAGGCTTTCATTTGAAAGATAAGGGTTCAAATCTTAAATGAGCCACTTGTTTTCTGGTACAAGTCACTTCATCCACCCTGGAGAATTATGTGGTACATGGCAGTTTTCCAACTTTATTACATAATTTTATTTGCAAAGTCACATCAGCTTTTCACAGTCATTGCATGACACAAATTCATCAGTTATTTTTGTTGTCAGAGGTTAGATTTCAATCATGTCAATATTCCATATTTAACATTGGCCCTTACCAATGCTGTTTTAATTAATCTTGTAAAGTGCAAAGAGGCCTTGACATACTATTAATTCTACCATCCATCATTAGCAATTTAAAGACGTTCAAAATTTTCTTGGTTGTCATACTTCTTAGTACAGTAATCCACATTCTCATTTATGAGGAATGGAAAAATTAAAAGTATAGAGGGCGCAATTGATGTCTTGACTCTAAATTGTATATGACAGTGAAATCAAAATTAATAAATTTTATATGGATGATTCACTGATACCACTTTCAATTTGGTTTTCCTGTTTATTAATATATTCTTAAATCCTAATTTATAGATCAATATAATCAGGAATGGAAGGAGCGCAGCAGATTTAGAGAGGAAATGGGAGCTCGTTTCCTGGCCTGAACCTTATTCCCATAATAAAAATATCCATGTCTGCCACTTAAAAAATTGATGTATTCAACCAGATGCTTCCAGATCAAATTATAAAAATTAAACTAAAAACAATACAACTTGCATTTAATAAAGTAGACAGTTTCTCTTGGTTTATAAGACACACTAAAAATGCTTGATGTCAAATTAGGACATATATACAAATGGCTTTAATCCAAGTGTTCCATTGCGATAAAACTTCAGTTCTGGTAAACAAAGTATTATATGTCAATATTAATATTAATAATAATAATTATAATAACGATATATACAATTTAATTTAATAAAGGAAATGTAATTTTAATGACTTTAAGTGGTTTCATTATTAGATTTATTATATATTTTAATTTGGTGTAATGCATTTTTGCACAATTTTGTTGAATTTCATGTCTTCATCTTAAGAGGTTGTAGACTTAAATTTATTTTATCCTTTAAAGGGGAAAAATCATAGTAATTCCAAAGACTGAACCCATAAGTTTAGAAATATAATGCAAGCACCTTAACCATCAAACCTGAGTCAAACTCCTAGATGAGTATACTCTGTTACCATCGCTTCAAAAAAATATAGAATACAGGTCTCCCTCTAATGAAAGACCCCTCCAATTAAAGACCATTTTTCTGTGGTTCCAAATTAACAAATGTCTTTAATTTTTATTATTCTAATTAGAGACCAAAGCTGCTAAAAACTATGAAAACCCTGGTCCCAAAAGTGGTCTTTAATTGGAGGGAAACCTGTATTTCATTTTTCACTTCATTAAGTCCTGTCCAGACTATCAACATGCCTAAATATGGTCATAATGACATCACATCATGACCATATATAGGCACATCATGACTATATATGGGCATATAAAACTTTTTGTCAAAGAAAATTTGATAGTGTGGACAGAGCTAAATAAACACATCAATCAATATGCAAATGAGTTGACATCTGACCTTATGGAAGTGACAGCTACATTTCCCTTGCAGGAAGTCTCTATATCGAGCCATGGTGATGTTGAATGTGTCCACTATCTCAAAGCCAAGCGTCTTGGCATGTTGTATCAGGCCTTGATTGTGCAGTAAGACTTTATATTGCTCTTTCTAAAAAATAAGTATCAGAAAAAAAAAATTATAAAACCATATTACTTTTGAACGTCATATAAAATTATAGGGCAAATATTTTTAATTAATAAATTAAATAATTAAATTGCTATTTAAAATTTTGAATAATGTATCACTTACTGGTGTAAGATAATGGATGCCATCAACAGGTTGGTGAAAGCCAGCTCCCAGTCCTTTCATAATAATAGTGACATCTGACAATCCTTCCCTATAAAAACAATCATTAAACAGGTATTAAAATTGCAGGTAAAATATGACCTATTGACGGATCTGAACCATGACCTTCATAAAAAAGTTTCTGGCACTCTGCAAATTGAGTTAAACTGCGCTAGTTGGCTATGGTCATTCTTAGCGCAGTAATTTATTTTCTTCCGGGGCACAAACAGAACATCAGCATATCTGTTGTTAAGAGGGAGTGGATGATGAACCAGTTGCATCTCAACCTTGAGGTCATGGTTCAAACCTCTTACTGTGCATTTTGCTTGTGTCCTAGTTGGACAAAGCACTTCACCAAAGTTTGCCCATCTGTGCACAATACAGCACAATTAATATACTCCCAATGGAGTGAAGAAATTTTCACTTTTGCCAGTTTGCCAGTATATTGATCCAATGACCAGGGGTAATAATGATATTACCAGTGCCTTGTATTACTAGGAAAAAGGCATGGAATAAAATCCTATAAATTTATGGGATAGCCCCATGACACAGTTGCAGCAGTATTCATCGAATATTGAAGATTTGAAAAGTAAACTTTATAAGCTTTAATTCAATTCATATCAGTATATAATATAAATTATAAATACAATCAAAATACACACATTTGTCAATAAGAATTAAATACTTGTGCACACTTAATTGAAAAATAGCAAGCTGTAATGCTTGTTTACATCATCTATTAATGCTGATTTGTATCATAGGAAAGACAAGCCAAACCAGTCACTCGTCGCAAATTCTGTTTCAGAGATAATGGCCAAAACATTCTAGAATGTCAACATTTTAAAAATTTATTTTATTGCACTAAACTAACCTTCATATATCTATATATCATGCTATGCGTTATTTTCCCGATCGTCAATGTTAAAACAACAATTTCTAACGATTTAGTGATGGTTTCTGCCAGAAAAATGCCTGAAATCATAAATTTTAAAGGCTGATTTCTCAAATATTTTCCTTAAACAGCTGTATGTTTAAACTCCTGTAACTTCATAATGAAATGTCGGATTTAAATGATTTTTTTTACCATTTTATAGCTTTGAATTTACTGTTTAACCCTGTATTAATCTAAAAATAGATTTGAGTGACGAGTTATGCAAAACTTTAAATGTACATTTTTTTCTTAATTAATTTACTTTTACCTAACCACTCAGTGTTCAAGCCTTTGGGGATTTCCTCCTGAGGGCAGACATATTTCTATTAATGCTATTTTTAGTTGACCTTATTTTCATTGATAATTAAAATAGATGAAAAGTGCAAAAATTGATTAAGAAATATTTTAATGTATCTCTACGATCTAACAAGCGTTAGTGGCATGGCATGTTCGTTTAAGGTGAGATGCTGTTACAAGAGGAAATTTTAATGGATGACTGCCTCACAATCCTACAGTCCTGAGTTTAAATCCCGAATGAACTTTAATTAAAAATCTCATTTTCTAAGCCTCGCAAAAACATAGATACTTCTATGTACTGCAGTATATATATTTTCATATACAGTATGTCTGTGTATTAATTTAAATTTAAAAAGCAAATAATTAGTAAATATTTTTATAACATTTTTTTTTGTAGTTTTCAATATTTTTATACAATATCAGAGTTAATTAAACTTGTTTTATACATTCTTTTATTTGTATATATTTATTTGCTCCTAGTGTAACTGATTATGTGCTTTAAATTTTAGATTTTATTTTCTATTTTTTTATTTTTTCAGTCAAATTTAAACTGACGTTCTTATATCTAATATATTATTGCACAGGGACATGTTTAGAATGATACACGGAATAGAATTAAGTCCTACACTTTTCATCACGAAAAATCCAGTAACAATCAGGCAAGTGATTGCTAAACTCTTGTGTAAACAAGTTTAAAAAGCACTTACGAAAGGACAATACTTTATAAATTAAATTAAGTTTGAACATTCATTCGGTCTTATCAGGGGGAATCAGCGTGCTAGCTTGACTAGTGGGGGCTTCTAGGGCATCTCAAGTGCCTCTGATTTTCATTATTTATGATGTTTGATCGCAGCTCAAAAGCTAGGACGGGATGATTCACACAGAGGAAGCTCTAGGCATCCGTACAGCGGCTTGGCCCTGGTTAACTGACACGATTGAATACTGGCGATGAGTGGGAAATCGAGCGGTCCCATAGGGCGGGATTTCACTCAAGAGACTTGAGTACACATATTGATTACACTGTACAGTAGAGTTGCTAATAACCACAACAGGAAATAAAAAAAATAGGTTTGGCATAGTATAAGCTTTATCATTTTCAGCAAATAATTATTGTGATAAAAAAATAAAAATTCTACAGTCACAAAATATAAAATAATCACTAAAGACATCCTGGAAGATCTCTACCACAAATAAAATACAGCATCATCCACCAAGAAGAAGAAGAAAAATTTAATCATCAAACATTTTTACAATGACCATCATTAGTTTCATAATAGTCATCATCATAGTAATAATTATTAATAAATATTATTACTATGATATTACATGAATATCTTCGCCATCATCTTCACTGTTGTCAACATTGTGTTGGCCACTTTTGTGATTATCGTCTTCTTCTTCATCATCGTCATCATCATTGTCAACACTGAATTGCAAATTTCACGGGTTCAAATACATTCATATGTCCTGTGAGTTCTGTTCCAGCAAGCTCTCAATTATGGGAAGCTTCAAAGTGCTGGAGCGGTGAAAAGGGTTTCTCTGCATATATTTTCTTTTTTTGGTTAATGTTAGGATATTTTATGGCGTCATTCCTTTTTTCAAGTTCTTTTATGTGGAAAGTGCTTAGAAGCATTGTTTTGCATTAAGCGCTCTGTAAGACTAACATCATTATTCCTATGAGACACAGACCAACAAATTCCACTGAATAAAAGACTTTTTGACACACTTGAAATGCTTTGATACCCAGATATTTTTGTTGACAGGCTGTGAAATGGTTCACTGTGTTTCAACCCTAAGCGATAGCATTTCATGGCTTACAAAGAAAAATATCAAATATTAAATTAAAAAATAATACAAATTATCTTCTTACTTAGAAGTTGCCTTCAGTGCCTTGTTTAGGGGAAATGGAAAAAACTCTGACTCTAAACTAATTAATTCTATCATCATCATCATAAAAATGCTTATTTCTTCATCACATCAGAGCTATCATCAACTTTGATTTACCCAACAACAAATGTCATTGATATTACAAAAACTAATAAATAACAGAAATCAAAGAGAAAACATGTTTTCCAAAATGACCACTTAAATAAGAAGTGGATGTTGTAACATTAAACTGTGCTGGGCATTTAAGCCATGAGTGAAAGTTTCAAACACTTTCAATGCCAGATTTGTTAAGGACTGACTTAAAAATAAATTCTGTCCCTACAGGCTAAAATTATAAGCTTCGAAATGAAATGATGTTTATAGAGTTTACTCCCATCTCATCAGTAAGTCTATTTGATGATTGGGAATATAAAAAACTTTTAAATTGAAAACAAGTACAGTAAACAATAACAAATTGGCTGCCTTGCGGAATACTGTAATGGCGCAACACACGTAGCAGTTAAGATGTAAAAGCAGCTCTCTCCGATCATGGTGGGGCTGAGCAGTGGCGGCACCAGCGGGGGACAGGGGGCCTTAAGTTCCCCCACCGAACAGATCGAGTCCCCATCGGACAGAGCTCATCAGGCAGTCAGACCATAAAAAATATATAAATAGGCCCACACCAAGCCAACACATGTCTGTCACAGTCTGAGAGTACCATTTCCAGCCATCCAGAGGTTGCTATTGTTTAAAAAAATCTGATTTTGTGGGGGGACATTCTCTCAACCCCTTCCCCCAGCTCGGGCATATGATCTCAAGTCCCCGTGTTGGGCAGCTTAGCCCCTAGAAAATACATCACTGTGGCCTAGGTGGTCATTGACATTCAAGCCAGCAGAGTCCCCAACTAAAGCAAGGACAGTTGTCGGCTGACGCGATTCTATGGAAACCACAATGTGATGATGCATGTGCAACAAATTGTTTAATGACGATCCATTCAGACTGCCACCAACAATCAGCAGACGGTGTCGTGTCGTGTAGCGTTCACAGGGAACGGAGTTGGATTCGCTGGCGATGATCTTACGATGCAGTAAGTCAACTACCGGACTGCAACATTTTGAGCAGTTTAAAAACAGACCCCAGTCAAAAAAAAATTATTATTTAGATTGGTTTTAAATTAGATTCCATATCTGATTTAGGAGGTAATCAATACTGCTGATAAATGAGCTAACAGGACATCCCATCAATGTTAATAATTCTAAAAATTGTTCTTCTCATAAGTGTAATGATATTGGAATTATCAGAAGCAATTAATTTTTGTTGTTGAAATTTTGTTTCATGAGTAAGCTTTATCTTTGTTACTTCCTAATTTTTTTTTTCAATCTGTTGGTTTCAATGAACAGAGCAGTACTATGATTAAACTTTTTATTAGTGTAATGATATTGGAATTTTCAAGGCAACAAACCTTAAGAGTTCAAAACCAATTAGAGTATTTTTCATTTCATGAGTAATCGATCAGTTGGTTTCAATGAACTGAACTGTATATGTTCGGTATGACACAATAGTTTCTCCATTATCACAGCTGACAGAGTGTTGCTAAGGAATTATGGAATATCGTTGCAACCTACTATTGGTCATCTGAGGAACCATATGTGCGTCGCATACTGTCCGCTGTTTCACATCAGCCACTGACCGCATGTGCTGTCATGGTTATCTTGTCAATTTCAAATTCAATAAAGATTTTAACAAGAAACTCTCCACCACCTTTATAGAACAATGCAGAAAGTATTCTTCATCTAAAGTATGTTTGTGAGTTAATAAGATGAACTGTATTTAGTTGTTTGACAGGATTTTCATCTTGATAGGCTTTGAGAATGTAAAGCCTGTTTCCTTAAACGCTACACTGTCGCTACAGTGTTTTTAGTGCAATCGTTGTACTGCGTAGCAGTCACCGAGCCAATTGGAAAAGCTCTCCGATGCGACCGACCAATCGGCGTCACCGAAAGCTGTCAGTGATAGCGTGTACCGAATGTATGGAAACCAAACTTTAGGCAATGGAAGATTTTTTTACCAGCAAGTCAACCAAACTTAATAACTGACAATTAGAACAGGGCCGGAAATATGCACTTGTCTCACAAATGCAATGTAGTCTCACAAATGCAATGTAGTCTCACAAATACATTGTAGTCTCAAAAATGCAATGTAGTCTCACAAATGCAATGTAGTCTCATAAATGCAGTGTAGTCTCACAAATGCAATGTAGTCTCACAAATGCAATGCAGTCTCACAAATGCAATGAGGTCTCACAAATGCAATGCAGTCTCACAAATGCAATGTAGCCTCACAAATGCAATGCAGTCTCACAAATGCATTGTAGCCTCACAAATGCAATGTAGTCTCACAAATGCAATGTAGTCTCACAAATGCAATGTAGTCTCACAAATGCAATGTAGTCTCACAAATGCAATGTAGTCTCACTAATGCAGGTGTTAACGTTATGTTCACGCTGTCGTTTGATGTGATATTAGCAACAATATATGAGGAGCGGGGACTAGCAAACAGGTCCATAATCAATTTGCCCTAATTTGCCATTGGATAGTTAAACAAAAAATATAAAACTAAATGTTCACCTCTTTAGTACATCTTGAACCATGTTGAGATGATGTGTTGCCAGCCAATGTACTCCACCAATCACAATCACTGTATTTTCATTGTTCTCTAATGGCATGGCTTTTTGTAGCACCTGTAGAAACGCTTTGTCAAATGGTGGCCGTTGGTTAGCCGGGATCATGAATTGTGGGAAGTAGCCAAATGTGGTGGATGTGCGGTTGCGGTTTAAGTTGTTGTAGACTTTGATATCGTGTGTCTTATCCCATTCAGTTAGGCTTCCGTTGACCTGTTCCATAATATAGTACATTATACCACGGTTTGTAGAATCACCCATAAATACCATCTGCAAATAATAGACAATAAGAAAATTAAAGATATATTGTTGGTCCTAAAATCTACTAAACCCTTAACCATTTGATTAAAATGCTAAAACATTAGTAATCAATTACAAATTCCAATGAGACACCGATGAGGCAAACTCAGTTTCCACTGAGACAGACATCTAATGCTGTATAAAAACAGAAATGATAATACAAACTTTATCATTGTTTACTCTAAACTAATTTCCATTACTTTATCCCAAGGATAACATGTATACTTTTATACACCAAGAACTCTCACATCAGTATTAAAATAAGCCATCACCTTATAGTCTTAATTGTTAAACAAGTCTGTATCTGAAAGTATGTACAATATAAGTTCTAAGTCGCATTCTGAAATTCATTATTACATTCTTGTAGCTAGGCTGCTCACCCTTTTCCTCGCCATACATTCTTGAAGTTTCTCACGAGTCATGTGATCATGTCTACAGGTGTGTGGTTGCCACTTGGCATTTCTGAAAAAGCAGGTGCTACGGTCACTGCACATTCCACAGGGCATCACCCACTGACCTGTAGTAATTTTAGCAGAGAAAACGAAAGTAATTCGTTAAACTGTAGTGTAACCTAAAAATAAATGCTGTATTCCCTAAACCATTGGGTTATGGTGGTCATTAAATGTTGGCGCAGGGACGTCTTCCATTTAGTCATAATTCTTGCTTGCTTGCGGGAGGTCATCCCAATTTCTGGGAGACCCCAGCGAGTTGTGGGACCCCTGACTTCAGCTCTTGAAGAAGAAGAAGAGCAGTGATTGGATTGAACCAGTGACCAAAATTATGTGAGGATATTCACGGTTTAGTGCACACACAATGGTTACCACTACCGGCTTAACCGACTGAGTTAAGCTGCTCCTCTATACCATAGATATTATAAGGCTACCAGCCAATTAACCATGATCTCTGACTAATAGTTGGGTCATTCTTCGCTAATGTGCCATTTTCCAGTCCCTCTGGTTTAATGTAGTATAAATTTTAAAATATTAAAGGAAATTTTATTTTTATTGCGTTAATGCAATCTTGAACATATTTGTTAATGGAATAAGTTGTTAAATAGTTTAAATGCAATCGACATGCTGTTTATTTTTCAACAAAAATCCTCCAAAGTCGCGCACTATGCATGTCCCGATTGGGTTTCTTAAAAATTCCTAATGTCATAATTTGTAAAATAAATAACTTAAATAAATAACTATACCACAAAAAGGTGAATACAATAGATGTCTTACAAATGTAAAATTAATAATGACATCAATAGAACTATAAATACTTAAAATTTGAATTTTTTAGACTAAAAAAGTTTGTCCCTGAATTGTCGTCATCTCCGTCACAGTACTTTAAAATGCCATTATACTGTTAGTAAAAATGACATAACACGTTATGGATCAAACCATTTTGGTTGAAGGGGACCATACAGTAAGAAACAGTCCATTCTTGTACAGTTAAACCACCTATAGCTGAAGAATTCATGCAATTCTAATACAACCAGAAAAGTACCTTTATTCAGCATCATCTCCGAACGCTTCTGAGTATGCTTTATTTATTATTTTTTTAGAAAAAAAATAATTATATATACGATCAGAACTGTGTCATTTTCAAAGTGCACATGGCATTCACCCTGTAACACACTGCATATGGCACTATATGATCTAAAAAGTTTAATTCCTCATCTCCATCACAGTCATCTCCATCACAATTTTACTGTGATGGAGATGACTTCTTGATGTTTTCTTTCCTCAAAAACGAATATGAAATAAAAATGATAATTGATCTGGTTTATGTTGTTAGAAACCTTTTTGCTCAATGTTTATTATCCTATATTTAAATAATACAATCTATCTTTTAAATTTACTAGGATTCACATTTACATGTATATCACCATCTCCGTCACAAAAAGTGTGATGGAAATGATTTCTTGATGTTTTCTTTTCTCAAAAACGGCTATAAAATAAAAATGGTAATTGATACGACTTACGTTGTTCGAAAGCTGTTTGTTCATTGTGTATTATCCTATATTTAAATAATACAATTTATATTTCAAATTTACTAAGATTCACATCTATGTGTGTATCATCATCTCCGTCACAAAAAAGTGTGATGGAGATGATTCTTGAAATATTTGCTATGTTACAGCACTGAAAATTGAATGCTTAAATAAACGTTTAAAATGCCCTAATTATTGTGCTGAATGTTTATTATAGTTGTTATATGGCATAATGGTGACATGTGTAATAAAAGAATTACAAATGTGAAACTTTTTTTTTCATGATTTCTAAACCTCTAAAATGGCACATTAGCGAAGAATGACCCAGTTATGAATGGCTATGTTGCTTCTTTGAAGACCCATCACCCAATAACAAGACCAACAGTATAATTAGATATCATGTTTCATTAACGTCTGTTTTACGTAAAGTGAAAACACTCCTGGTCACTAACATACTTATACGTGACCTTCAATATGTTCTGAATTAAGCGGTTATACCCTGCAATACAGTAAAATAATGAAGACAAATTTGTACTTATAGATAATATCTTCTTATTGAATTTTTCTATTAGTCAATTAATCAAGTGGGCAGTTGACTCCCAAGAACATTCAAAATTCCCAAGAGACTGAGATATAGACATATGATTTTGAAAACATACCCTTTATTATAAATATTACACGAATGTAATTTTGTCCATAAGTCTACTTGGAAATTAGATTTCACGATTGCACATGTTATTAATTTGCATTAGTTTGGTCAAGAAATTAAGCCTAGGCTGGACTGGAAATTCAATCATTCAGTGAAAGTTGGAAATAATTATGATTCAGGTTAAATAACAAAACAAAGTATGATTTATTGAAAATTGATGTCAATAGCTAAAACACTAACCAGATTTACATTAAAATTTACATGCAAGGTCATGAGATAATGAGTGAAACGCTTCAATTTACAAACTGATCTCATCTATAGTCAGTATAGAGTGGCTTGGTGTGGCTTGGCGTTTAGACCAGGTACTCACAAACGCTTACTCTTAAAACCTACTGTCTATTTAAATCCAAGTGCGAACAACAATATGATTTGAAGGTAGAGTTACCCTTTCGTCTTGATAACAAATTAATCAAACATGATCATGGCTAAGTTATATACATGGCAAAGTTAAACCAGTCACTCCTCGCTATAAATCCATTTTTAGTAATATTAATACAGGATTAAGCAGCAAAATTAAAGTTAAAAAATGGTAAAAGATTCATTTAAATTTGACATTTCATTTCATTTTGTTCTTCTCAATCCCTCAAAATTGTTACTTTACGAATCAAGCATATTCGTACTGGTGAGCGCTCTTTTTCCTTTTCTGCTCCTAAATTCTGGAATTCTCTTCCCCCACAATTACATATCATCTCTGATCAGGAATTATTCAAATCTAGTCTTAAATCCTTCCTCTTCAAATAGCTTAACTTCTTTCTAACATCTTCCAGCGCCGCGGACAAACCAATTTTTGCTTGCTTTAATAGGTGCTTTAAAAATGTGTATTACTATTATTATTATTATTATTATTATTATTATTATTATTATTATTATTATTATTATTATTACTGTATTATTATTATGAAGTTACAGACATTTTAACACATAGCTGTTTAAAGAAGAGTATTGAGAAATCAGCTTCAAAGTTTACAATTTCGGCCATTTCTCACAGCTATTTAACGTATGAGCTGTTTATTATGACAGGAAATGGATTTTCAGAATGTCAATCAAACTAAAGCAACTGACCAATCAGAACATGGCCCTTACCAACAACATCTATGGGTCAAAGTTTAGTGGAATGTTCCATTCTTTTGCATAGGTATTGACAAAATGTAATAAATATGAAGATTTTTTTTTAGATGTTCTGTATAAAGCATTATGACAAATGTTTTGTTATTAATTATTACTGTATAATACAGTGTTTGTACTTCAAGGAAGAATCTTACTTCATAATTTTAGATAGTACTGTATACGGTATATATGACGGAAGGCTACTATTGGTGTTTGCACTTAGTGGCCAGCTGGCTCTCACCTGGACTATCTCCTGCCTTGCAAAGTGGCAGATGGTTTGCCTGCTGTAGGAATGCTGGCCAGCTGTCATGCGGCATGGGATTCAGTCCACAGCTTGCAAATGGAATAAACTTCAAATTGCATTCCTAAGAAAACAAAAATGTGTTGATGATGTCATACTTTCACAATCTCCTGTAGTTTCTATTAGCCTCTAAGAAACCAGTGAAGCTCCTGGAAGGCTATTGTATAATTATAATATACAGTATGCACATTTGGCATTCTCATATATGGGTAATATATAGCATCATCATGCCCAAATATCGGCAATTCATAAAAATTTTTCAAATAAAACTTGCGAATAGAAACTTTACTCATCTTTACCTGCATGAGACTGCAGACTTGATGTTGAGCATTCTCATTAAACTCTGGTTTATGTTCACTCGGACCTTCCCTGTACACATGTACAACATATGTGTTAATTACCCATGGCTCTGTGTGTGTTATGTCCACAACGAGCAGATTCACTCGGTTGTCACCAATCCCAATCGTATAATTAGCTGGCCTAGAAGTAAACAACAAGAAATTGTTATAAACATACAGTATCCCATCACTGACTTATTTGCCCCTTTATCTACTCAAAGGACGTTTCAACCAACATTTGACATTTTTTTATCATAGTTTAAACAGAACATGGATGAAATGTGAGTCAGCCTTGATGAAAATTATTTTAATTGGCAAAGAATTATGGGAAAAGTTAAAATAGTACCTGGAGAGTCCATACTTGTCTTCTAACCTCACCTCACAGTCGCAGTTCATGGAATGTGCCCAAACTTTAAGGATGACAGTCTTGTAAGGCACTTTGGCGTAATATTCTGTCGTATAAGGGTCAAATTCTGGGCTGAATGAGATGTTGGGCTCAAAGTAGATCCCAGAAAGATATGGCATAGTCTGGTGATCTGCAACAACACATATTTTATTATTTGTTAAAGAAAAAGAGAAAAATCCCAAAAAGGAAGTACTGCCAAATGATAAATATAGGCCCTTTTATTAACAGCAAAATTTTAAGTTGGCGTAAGTTCATTCTTAAAAAGTAAAAAATATTTCATTGATTTATTCAATCACTCAATCATTTGTTTCAGTTAATTAATTTATTTATTACAGTAATAAATTCATTAATATTTTTATAATATTATTAATTGACAACTATGTCAATCGTGATGACATCATGTTACCTTCAACATGTTCATGTTGAAGGTAACATATAGCAATATTTCTATTATTATTTCATTATCATGTTGTATAAGGGTGAATCCTATAGCAAAGTTGACTAGAAGAGGCCCTCTATGGACAAGAGAACAAAAAGAGCATCAAACAACAGCACCTTTACTGCAATGAGTCTTTTTGTACTTCTCCTTGTATGGATTATTAATCTCAAAGACATCATGAATAGGCTGGACATCTTCTCTTGACCTACTAAATTCCTCCACAATGCTCCTTTGCTGGAAGTACTTCTGGTCGGCTTCAACCTGTTTACTATGGAAGAAGCTTTCAACAGCTGTGATTACTGGATGTAGGTCTGGTGTGCTATGTCGTTTGTCATTTGGTAGTGGTTCTCTTGGTTTCCTCTTTTGTTTGGCATTCTGAAACCTAACAAGGTCTTTCACAAGGCTGTTGTACTTGGGGTTTTCTGGGGAAGGGTAAAGCTGCAAAAGAGATAATGGCATGATAAAAAAAGACATCAATTCTAAGAACCAGTTAAAAATTATGAGGAATTTTGATCATTTAATTCAGGTCATGATTCTAAGTGTAGCAACAAAATCACTTTCTACGCAGATTACAGAACTCTCAATGATTTATGCCATAACCTTGAGAGTCACATAGATATCTTCCAGCATCCATCATTCTTGTTTCCATTCCTCCTCTCTACAATCTGGTAGACTTTATAAAAAATTGCACATTTTTCAACTAACCTGTTTAAATTGCCCTCTATGTCTGACCTGCCTCCGAGAGTCCATCAAGTATTCCAAATCTTCATCTGTCATACACAGTTGATGTGATGATTGGCAGTTCAATCCCTGAGAATTAATAGATTTCGAGAAAGTTAAGTATCCTAGACAACATCCTTATCTTTTTCAATATAAATTATCAGAAGTAAATATACCAGTTGTCATCATATAGCCCATTGAAATATTTTAAAGTTAGCTATAGTTCCCAATTGCCATCCCCTGTTGTATCATGACATGTCACATTTTTGTTTATTCATTTTTTCATTGAGATAAATGAGGGCAGTATACTGAAAAAAAAAGTTCTTCATGGGTTTCTATAATATAATTGAATACGCTTTCTGATTCATCATTCTGCTAACGTCAGTTTAAATATTTTCTGTTCAACTAATATGTTCAGACTGTAGAGGGCAGTATTTTGGATTAAGCAAACTCTTTCTTTCACTGTAAGAGCTAATGTATAAATATAATGAAATGAAAATGCAGCAGGAATATATTTAATTTTGTAACTTGAAATAAAAATTACATTGTGTCTTTGAGCAAGAGACTTCATTTATTATGTTTCTTTTTACCCTGAAATATGTATTACCTTTTTTGCATAATTTTGTCTACTAATTGTTGAATATAAAAAGATGTTTTTATACTATATAAATACATCTATTATAGTTTTTCTTATCATTATTATTATTATAAAAATTTAAATTAAAGTTATATATTTGATTAATGTGATATATTAAAAAAATATGTGACATTTGTCATATTCTGGTATATAAATTAGAAGAGGCACCCACTACACCAGGTGGAATGCCCTGGGAATTCCCAGGGGTGGGCGTGTGTTTTTACATGTTTACATTTTGTCTTGATATATTGACTTAGGACCTGGGATTATGATGCAAAATGCCTTGAGTAGATGCCAAAAAAATCATTGTGTTGAGGTATATTTTTTAGATGATTTAATTTATATCAGTGAGGTTTTGTTTTTCCTCAATGTCTAATCACTTAGAGAGCTAGCTATTTTACATAGCATGTTAGTCCAGGTGTGCTGTAACAAAGGCATACTGTGGAAGGCTAGCCATTCCTTTATTGTAGCAGAGTGAGTGAAGTCATGTTTTTTGCTGTATTGGCTCAAGTTTATTAGATGTTATAGGGACTACCTTTGGTGAGAATATTTAATTTACTATTAACTTTTAACTGTAGTTTATGTTTGTGGAGTACATGTTTAGGTAAACACAAACAGCATTTTATTGCACTAAGAAAGCTACTTGAATTGTATAGTGTGATACAAGCACATGAACATTTTATTACATAAGAAGGCTACACACTTACTGCAGTATTACAGTAGTTGAACACTACAATACTAAGTATAGCCCTCATTTATGGTATGCTTACAGGCATTATTTAAATATTCTGATGTATTTGTTATTTGTGTCTGAATGGTGAATATATTCAATGTTGGCAATCCATTATTACTGTTTTTATTGTCATATGAACTGATTTTGTGTTGCAGTAAATTGCTTTGGTCGATCATGGTTTGCCAAGGTTTGGATAAATTTGGATCTGTTAAAGCTAACTGAAAATATAACATCGTCATATATTTTTAAAAAACTGCAATTGCAAGTTGCTCAACCTTTTGTGATCAGTAAACTTTTGAGAGGAATTTTAATTGGTGAAAATGCTATATAAACAACGAAACATATATGAAGTCTTCGATGGGAGCTTACCACTATTCCTATGTTTAAATGAAGGGTTTCCAAAGCCTCTGCAACATCGATTGCTACTGAAGAATTTGAGAACAAGATGTTGATGGTGTCATCAATTATTGTCTGCCTTGTTTCACTCGCTGCCCACTCGTTGGCCTCTTTTGAAACATCAAGGTAAGGATGTCCATTCACCTGGAGAAATTCAGGAAATTTTTAATGGTTAAGCTCTGTTCTTTGACAAAAACATGTTGTATGCCCATATATACTGTAGTCATGATGTGCCTATATATGGTCAAGATGTGATGTCATCATGACCATATTTAGGCATGTCACATGGTTTTGTTAAATAAAATTGGATAGTTTGTAGGGACAGTAATAACAGCAAACATTTTTTTAGACTACTAATTTTTTTGATAATTCTATTCGACCTTTCAGATTTTGCATCATATATGCCTGCTGACTTTTCGTTTTTAGTGTTTTTAATTGTTTTTTACTTCTCCGAAAGTAATTTTCTCTATGACATCTTCTACACTGTTGACATCATCTTCCTTCCTTCTGTAGCGTGAACTTTATAAACCTTATTATTATTATTATTACTACTTCAATCAATTATTTTATATTCATCAAAATCACACACAAACATGTAAAATAGCAATATAATTGGCCATTGGCATCACAGATTGAGTGCAATACTTAATTACACCAACGTTTTAGGAGTACAGTATACCAAGGGCGTCGAAAGCAGTCCGGCTGGTCCGGGTTTGGCCGGACCAATAATTTACAACTCAATATTGCTTGTGAGCCAAATTCTACTTTCTCTGACACAATCAAACATAACTTGCACATTCAGCTTATTAAAAATATGGAACAAATTTGAAATGACTTCATTTTCATTAATTTTCTATAATTATACATTAGAATATGAATGTGACTGTGAGCTAATTCGAAATCAAAACAATTAAGCATTTATATTAAGTTTATCATCTGGTACGTTACATTACTGCACTAAATGCAAGAATTTACTAAATAATTAAAACTGCTAAGAAATAATTCAGTGAATTTCACCCAAAATCTAATTTTATTTATTTTTTTGTAAATGTAACACTGGGTCCCTTGCGATGCACAGGGCAGCTGATCATTGAGGGCGACACAGACTTGTAAATAGGGCATGCGCAAAATATGTTCTATAAGGATGATTATGAATAATTCATGAGATTTTACCAAAGTACCGTATGTTAAAAAAATTGCGCCCAGGGAGAGCTCATGAATTATTCATAATCATCCTTATAGAACATATTTTGCGCTATTTTTAAGCCTCTGTCAGCCTCACTGATCAGCTACATCATGCTTCGTCGCGAGGGACCTACTGTCCGATTTAAATAAATAAATAAAATTTTGATTTTGGGCGAACTTAGCGGATACAATTGATATAAATGCGGATGTGGTTGGGGGGGTGTTGGGGTTGGGTGCAGATGGTGTTATCGCACCCACTCAAAATGTTATTAAGAAGAATATTTGTTTTATTGTTGAATAACAAACAATGTGCGCCTATATTATACGAGTTGACGGATATTGTGAAATACATATAAAAAATGTGGCCTAAATTAAACATGTTATGAATACACAGGGTACAATATGCTATGCATCATTTAGTAAACCAATTAAATGGCTTTTGAATTAAGCAAGGTGTATACGTTAGATTTTCAAATAACAGACTGCTGGTATATTATTTAGTGTTACTATCTAGTAAACTTTTGGTTTATTAATGGCAGGAGGACCATGTATGGTATTCCCATCATTTATAGAAAGATCTACCAGGTGATAAATACGCAACAGAGCATTAGGAATCAGGGGAATCAACTTCGGGTGGAGGGTCAATATTAGAATAAGCTACTGTACGTTTCTACAGGGGTTCAACTCAGGCCCTACAACGGCTCCAGTCAGGGTGGTAGGGCACACGCCAAGTAAAATCAGCAATTTGTATTTGATACTTAATAACTGCTAGATATACATATTAATCAATTAAACTGATCGATTTTCACTTTTTGTCATTAAAAAAAATCCCTACTATGACATGGCCCAGGCCGCCCAATATACATGCGTACAACCCGTAACTGAGCTATAACCCTGGTTTGATACGAACACGTGTCAATTTTTTTAGATTATTTTTTTCAAAATACTGAGCAGGCCGGTATGGTAAAACATCATTTTCAAAATATTATTTCTACTGTTACAGCAATGTTTATTAACTACTATTGCTTGTACGTACGTTAATATTAACCCATGGTGACAAATATAAATGATAAAGCATGAATGGTTTATTGATATATTTAGTACAAGTATGAATGATTGACGTAATAGAATAGTGTGTGTTTTGAGCTACAAAGACAAAACTAATAAAAACAAGTCATATTAATGCAATGGTGATTGTGTATATTTGGCTGGACCAATAAAAATAGCTTCCAACGCGCCTGTATACCGAGTATATACCCACCTCAATAATAACAGGATGAAGTGTAGAGTTGAAAATCAGGTCGAAGCCAAGAAGTTGGAAACAATTTTTGCACCTTGAAAAAAAAAGGTTACCATGAAACCAACATAGAGTATTTGTGTTTGTTTCTTCATTTTTCTTAAACATTAAGCTTTGTATAGTTCAATTCTAGAACACTGCAGGAAATCCTATAATAGTTGTATGTTTTATTGCAGTAATTTTCCAACATTATACTAACTAGCCTGAACTCCCAGTATCAAATCTGCTTAAAAGCAGTACAGTACCCATATGACTGTTCAACATTGAACTACATTGGCCAACTACTACAGTACATCAAGTGTAAACTGACTGTTGCACTTACTTATAAGGTTTATTCCTATTGAACGAAAATGTATTAAAATGTTCTGCTACTGAAGATTCAACCGCTAGTAGTGTCTGTACTATCACACTTTCCATATTCTTAAATGCAATTTCAGCTGCATTTTTCCCATGGTGTTCAATTAAGTAATTCTTAAACTGTGAGAAACTCCACATCCTATTTTTTATCTGTAATGAACAGGAAAACAAAATTAAAAACAGGTTAACACTATATATTATTATGTTAATGCTAGGTGTGCCCTGCAATAGGCAGAATTACTGTGAAGGTATCCACGGTATTTCTTCAGTTGTAGACTGGGTATTCTTAAGGTATTTTCTTAGTTGCAAACTGTGCTCTTTCATCAGCCTGTATTGTTCATTTTTAAATAAATCCAACTCCACTATGCTTGAGCGCTTAACAATGTGATGCTGTCTGCTGATTGGCAGTCTGGGTGGATTGTCATTAAAAACAATCCACGATACACACCTTGCCGTATTGCAGTCTCCATGGAGTCGCATAACTGTTTATCGTTAGCACAGTATGTTGCCAGCTTAAGTATTTTCTGTTGTTGTAAAGCTAATAGGGAAATTTGATGTGCACTACAATTAGTACATTACTAATAATAACACAAAAACCGAAAGGTCCACTGATTAATCTCAGATAAGATAGTATAATACATACTTCAAGTATCGAAATGCACGCCATCGTCAAAATATTGAATCCGGACATGATGACGTGCATTTTGATACTTGGAGTATGTAGTATATTATCTAATAACACAGGTTTAGTAGTGTACATCTTTAACTTCCAACCACCAAGTTCTTACCTTCATAAAATGTTTTTGATAATCTTGCCTATAATGTACAGTACCCTGCGAGTGAATGAATGCGGTTAACGGAGCAACTGATGTGACAACAACGTGAGCACGTATGCTGACTGGCATCCCAAATACTAATAATGGATTTGGAAAATACTGCTGTACAACAGCAGTTTTTTTACTATATCTGAAAAAATTTAAGAATATTAATATATTAAAGATGTTTTTAGAACCCATAGCAATATATAATGCATAACTATAAGTGGTAGGAAGTCTCCCCCCTTGAATCATAGGTCTTCAATAAGCACTTAGAATCCTATACCCTCCCCCAGACAGAAACATCCTGGATCCATTTCTGTTTGCATCACACCCCACCAAAAAGCTTGCATCCCTCCCCACTGGTTCTTCACTGAGCAAAAAAAAAAAAAAATACACTAAATTTTGCCAGCCAGCCCTTCCTTATTAATGCTAGACTTACTTACTCACTTAAACCTCCTCCCCCTTCAGTTCCCCAATTTTAATACCCCTAGTAATGCCACTCTGTGAGAGTATACTTAAAGTGAATGTTCATCATACACTCCATACTATGTTATACATGTCTATGCATATGTAAAGCTGGATAAACCATTAATCACCTGCATTCGGGGACTTACTGTTTAACTTTTGCAAAATCCCGATCTCTTGTTGGCTGCAGAAGCTGAATGATGCCACCGGAGGTTGTTGACTTTACAACCCACCTCACATCGGTCCCTAAAGCATCTGCAACGCCCAAAAACTGCTCATATTGTGCAGGCAAAACCCAACAAACTGGAGATATTACACTTTTTCTCAATGCTGTAAACAAATAAGACTAGTAATTTATTTATTTATTTGAACTAGAATTTTAAAAATTGTAAATAGAATATATGTACTGTACTCTGTTAAAAAAAAAATGTTTTGTTATTTTAATAGTCCTATTTTCTCACAAAATCTTTTCATAATAGTGCAACTGTAAACAATATTTCAAGTTGATTCCTTTCTAACATGGTGGTATTTTTCATTTTTATATGTTCTATGAAATAAAAACACTGTTAGCACTTTATAGATTCATTTATTTAATACACAAGCTTTTGCCAGCAGTCTATGTTGGCTTCATCAGGTGAAGATGTACAGAGACGAGATGAAATATATGCAGAATGCTTAAATTCTATGGGAAGAGAAGTTTAAAGACTGTTTTATATTTCACCTTTTGTTAGTCGTCGTAATTTCATATTTTGTTTCAAAATAGTGTCATATATTATGCTGATTTAACCACAAACCGCCTCTTTACCCTTGACCACAAAAATTTGCCTTCATTGAACTAATTGCTGTTATCAAACACTACATTGTAATTGTCATTGTTAATAAAGTTAATATAAGTATGGTATTGTTGATTTGTATTGTAATTCTAATCAGATAATAAACATTGTTATGTTTGCTTTTCTAGTAATATAATTTATTCTTCAAAAATATAACTTAATAAATAATAAAAACAAAATCTTATAACAAAAACATGTATCAATTCTCTCTTTCCAATTTTGACGAGAACAGCTTGTTCTTTGCAATTTCAAAATACTGCCCTCTATCTAACCTTTCTAAACAATTACTTTTTTGATTAATAATTATAGGCATGTGGGTCAAGGATCGCCCAATAGCAACTTCCTAACCTTGAAAAGAACAATACCATGTTGCACGATACTTGGCTTTGGGTCACATTTATGGAAATGCAACTTAATTGAATATTTCCTATTAAATATGAGAATTAATATTTAGCCTATCAAATTATTGGTTGAAAAATAATTCAGTTATTACTAATACAATAAAATGTCAGTTTTGAAAACTGATTTAAAATTTCCTTTAAAAAAATGTTATCATCGATATTATTAAATAATAAATTAGTGTTGATGCATGATAAAAAATAACTTTTAATTAATAATTATTAATATTATGAATGTAATTACTGTAATTCTTACAAGTACACTACAATAAATGTTGGTGTATCTTTGTAGGAATATTTTAACACTGAAAATGGGTATATGTTAAAAAATAAATATTTCATACCTGGAATCCTTCGAGCAGCATTCATTGTAGAACAGAAACTGTCCTTCTTCCATAAAGTTTCCCTAATTCCAGGTATTCTATTAATCTGAGGAAAAGATACATATTTTATGTTAGGATGTTTTGGTTCTTTTGCTTTGGTCGCTTTACGATACGATACTCTTTATTTTCATAAACTTTTGTTCCTTTTGAGATGTGTTTTGCATTAATCGGTTAAAAAAGGACAGGTAAATAATAGAAATCGATACAATACATCAATCTTTCTTTAATAGTATTTCAAAGTTTGTTTAGTATGAAGAAAGAGTCATCAGACTTCAAGTGTGATCTTGAAATACACCTTCAAGATATGTTCTAAGGGATGTTTAGTGAGTCCATAATTACTTTTATTATACTTGATCATCATAACCATATGCGATACAGAAAAGTTGATGCCTCGAAAAAATAATGTTTAATAATTAAATTTGTATAAGATGTGTTCACTTCTATGATTTTATAGTACAGCACTTGTGTCCATAGGTAATAGGCATGCTATAATACTGCACCAGCTGTCAGCAAACCCAAGTCAAATTTGTTCAACATGGCCATGTGTAACACCTTATCACATGGAAGCAGAAACAGTAGGAAATCTGGTATTAGAACGCTTGAACAGTGAAAGGTATGGTTAATGGATAACACATGTACACTGTCCAGTGCAGGATCTAGGCCCTCAAATAATGTGACCAGTATGGGTATAAATAAAGGGCACTACCTGAGTGGCACAACTGTGAAGTTTAGAAATATGCTACTAATAATTCTGTTAGTGTTTGCAAGTTGCAACAGGTAAATTGCAGTCTCTGTTTAGAGAAGATATATGATTCAAATCTTTAAAATTCTCAATGGTTTTGATAGCATTTCAGTTTCAGGTTGATAGGTGTTCAAACTTGTGCCACAAATCAGAATAATTTGGACCCAAAGTCAATATTCTTTGGAATTCTCAAAATGACAGATCAGTCAAGTTCATAAACCCTATTAACACTGAAATTTAATTGATACTGGCCAAGACTTATTAGGTTGATATAGTTTACCAAGAAAAGCTTAGTCATGTAATCCTAGCCTCATTCCCAGAACTGGCAGAATGGCGGACAGTCTGGATAGGCCACTAGTAAACAAGAGAACTGCAACCCTGCTTTCCCTAGTCACTGAAGCAGCCACGTTTACATTTCAAAGCATTTTGACAGAACAATCTGCTGCCCTCAATCTTCATGGGAGAATCTTGATTTTTGAGTAGAAACTCATACCTTTTGTTCATCTTGTAGCTGGCGAAATGTTTCACGTTGTAAACAGTCACCTCTGGCTCCATCCGAATATGTCATACACAACATTAGTACCCATGGATCAACATTGTTGGGGTCTGTTACACCAAACTCTCTTGCAGAAGGAGATTCTGTTAATACAGGAAAACCATGGTCATGATTTAAAAAGAGAAACTTGCATCTTTGATAATTATATGTAGTTTTTAATATGAATATGACTGTAATTACTGAATCTCTAATTTCTTTCATATTCATTTTTCAATCAAACATATTCACCTTCAAAATTTGTAAGAATTGTGCCGTTCTGCTCTGTCAGCTTCGACGTCACAACCCCGTCTGGTGTTTTAACCCAGAATCCATTCCTTCTGAGCGCTGCTTCGTAAAATGGAAGATCTCGTTGGACGAGGTTTAGCTGTCCACGGACATGCGCAACTTTGTTGAGCTTCCGTTGTTTCTCCAACAACCTGGTTTCTAACTGAAATGATAAAATTATCCATTTTAAGATACTAACGATCGTACTACGTAGTTCTCTGAATGTAATACATAAGAAGTGCTGATGTGAATTAAAAACATTACCCCTTCCCACCTGTTATCAATTACTGTAGATTATGGATCCATTCCAACTTTATCCCATAATGTTTTTATCAACCTCTTACATTTTTAGCCTATGTGAACAAGAATGTAAACAGAACTATTTTATTACAAAACTTGAGATGTTTGAGCTCCTAGACTTCACATTACAGGTATTAAGGTAACTTATTAAAGTGTTCTGTTCACGTGTGACATTGTCATAGCAACAGTGGTTGCCATAGCGACTGTTTGGTTGTTGGCAAGGTAACAGCTGTCATGGCTCTACACCAGTGATGATGTGACACTAATCAGGTTTTTAGTGACCAGATGGATGTCACAAATGTTCGCCAATTACTGTCGGTATGTAACCAAGATTTAACTAACCAATCGCTCAATCATGACTTGGTTTACCTCATGGGGTCAAACGTCACAAGGTGAAGTATTGTTTATGAATTACATCAGACAAAGAGAACCATTTAGTGGTTAGAAAGAGTATAATAGGTTGCATGTATAAATTAATCAATCTAAGGGTTTGTTTCTACTGATAAACACAAAATAATAAATTTTTTTTAAACCGATTTTTAAATGAGTGCTAGACAGCCTACCCACGTTGCAACTGCTTTTTTGCTAATATGAAAATAGGTTTTTTCGTGGCGGAAACTACACACCATTTTTCAAAATGTGTATTTTATTCTGACGACACTTTTTGACAAGAGTAATTTCAATAATACTATATTGTTACTCGCTACATTATCGACATTTCTTTCTCGCCAACAAGACAATATGCTTCACATGAATTCAAGTCATGATAATGCTTTCGGCTGTGCTTATCAGCACAACGAACGAGCGAACGAACGAGGACCATGGTAGGCGCAGAAGAGGGAAGAGGCCTAACAAGGCCCAATAATCCCCCAACAAAATGATTACAAAATGAAAATTTCATCGCTCCACATTTGAACGTTTCAGCATGTACGTGTATAGAAGGACTAATTGTTCTGAAAGTGTGCACACGATACAATCTAGCTTTGCAGTGGTTTGACTCCTGGATGTCAAATTTCACCTGATAATCGCTTTTTTGTGTTGCAGCTAAAAAACGCACAGCCAAAATCGGTTATTTGCTGTTCAAACACACTATCCATTTCGTGTTTTTAATAACTTTATTTTAATCATTCTTTCCGAACTGGTCCCGTTTCTGCTGCGAGAAAAAAAGGTTTTTTATCGATTTTTTTCACTCCAATACAAACAAGCCCTAAGTATGCTAAAGAAGAAAGTCTATCGTAAATTAACCCTATATTCTTATGGTAAAACTTAAAAAGAAGCGGCCCTCATTTTCCCCTACCACTGTCACCACGCAAACATTTGGCGATTTTGTTAATTCAAGTATTTTGCAGCCTTTTAAGTTTGCAATGGATGACTGTCAGAAAAGTCAATTGGCACAAAAAACCAGAGTGTACAGGCCTAGAAATTTACTTTTTTAGGTACTAGCAACCTATTACTAACATTTGCTGGTTGTGAAAAATGTAACTAGCAAAATGAGTTGCTCAACTAGTAAAATATATTGATACCAACCCAACATATTATTTTTGGAAAATACATTGTATGAAAATAAGTACTTCTATAAATTTGTGTGTTAAATGTTGTAATATAATATTTTCTGTTATGGTGAGTGTAGTAAAATAAATATCACAAAGAAATAGCCAAATGAGTATAAGCAATTGATTTCTATACCTTGTACACTATTATTATTATTCACTGCAGGTTCAGAACATTTTTAATAAAAAAAAAAATCAGATACAAAATAAAAATTGAATAATATATTACTAATTTATTTTAAAAATAACTTATTCAATTTTTATTTTGTATCTGTGATTAAGTTTTCCATTTAAAATTTGTATTAGTTTTTGTAACTTTCTTTTTATATTTTATTTTACCTAATTTGTTGTACTTAATACTAGGCTAATTACAAGATATTTTGTATAGATATTTCAACTAGCAATAATTTTTTTTTATTTGCTGGTTTGTGAATGTTTACCTAGCAATTATGACAAACCTACTAGCAAATTGCTAGTTTGCTGGTGCGAATTTCGAGCCCTGGGTATACAATGAGTGTGTACAATGTCTTCTCAATTATTTGATAATCTATGGCAAAAGTTTTTTGCACTCTTGGTTTTTTTTATAATAAAATATCTATCTTTTTGGTCTTTTTATCTTAATGTCAGTCATCACAAACTGAAATTGAATGAAGCTCACCACAGTTCACAGCATGTGAATGTTTTTGATATGTACTATGTAAAATTGCTTGAATGGTACCGACAATTTGAAGATTTTGTTGAAAACAAAAACAAATTGAATGAAATTAAGAAAATGCGTAACAATCTGAGATTTTGGTAGCTGATGGAATGCAGTTTTAATTCAACAGAGAAGGAATTACTTACCGGGATTTCTGATCAACCAATCATTATATTAGGTTAGTTGTCATCACCACAGATCCTATATTCATCTGTGTCATCACCATGAGCAGATGGCTGCATTACCCTTGGGGGTATAGGAACAATGAACAAAATATAGAGCTCTAGTTTACATACTGTAGCAGAGAGTATACTGTATTAAAGTTTGAAATGATGCTCAACTCTGCTTGTTTTGTAGGTGAATGAATGCAATTCCTGATCTGCAGCAAGATAAGCACTGCAAGCAATATTAAAGCAATTCGATGTACCCACCATGGTATGTTTTTTTTTGGTTCTCCACATAATCAATAAAGCAAATACATGTAATTCAGTTGCTGCTTTCACACTATAGGCCTATCCAACTTCCTCTACGATCCACCAATGGGCACACTTTGATGGCGTATCAACGGGCATGACACATTTGTCGGGGGTAAGCTCTGTTCCAAGAGGAATAACTGGTTTGGCTTGTCTTTGCCATATATATTTGTTGATTTAATTGCAGTTCCAAAACAGAGCGTTCCAAGAGTCTACAGTATTTGTAATCGCCCTCTATAATACAGCCATACTATTTTTAACAGCAGTATAATGATTCAATCATAAGGGGAAATGACTCAAAAATTTAACCAAGTTTCAATTTTGTTTATCTCTAGTGTATTTTCTATTTGAGAACTTTGTAGCCAAGGTCTACCCTTTTAAAATAACATTAAATAAAAAATGCTAATACCAACAGTAATTAGTGAACAAAAAATGTTAAATAAAAACCCACTTGGGAAATTAATCTACCTCACAGTAAACATCTCAGTTTTATGACAACAATTTTACTGCTGACGTCTTAAGTTTATGATGTACGGTACCTTAGAAGTTTACAGAGAAAGAGTATACCATAGTTAACCCCATATAGTATGACTTGAAGAAAACAAAATACAGGGTATTCATCAATTTATTCAAGATTTGCTGGGCTTCAAAATTTCACACGACATACTGTATGTGTGCTCAGGTGAGTAGGCCTACATTGGAAATTCACAGGGGAGGCCTGGAGCTATTCGAAGAAAAATAAATAAATGTTTAATATTTTTCCAGCATTTCACCTTAGTCAACCTGTTAAATATAGCAGTATACATGGTAACAATAACAAAGTATTTTATGGTTTTTCTGTTACATCCATTTTCTTCTCTTTTCTTGTGATATGATTAATCATTTTGTTCTTAATAGCATTCTTAAGGCAACTTACTGTATATTATGATTATACGTAGCATTATGAATCTACTCCTTATTTGACAGAATAATATCTGCTACAGTACTGAACTGTATCAGGGATACACTTCATTGAAAAACAAAGAAATAACTTAAAATGTGTGTGGATTTCCCAGGACTAAAAATCCTCCAAGCGGATCTATCACAGTATTTTGATTGTTTTTGATATTTATCAGCTTATTTTTCAATTTTTGGGAGTACTGTACATTATAGTATACTACTGCATATACAATGCCGTAGCAAGCTATTGGGTACACAAAGAATGGGTCCACATTTTTATAAATGGGTCTAAATTATGCAATTTCATGCAGTCCACTTCATAAGTCCACTTTTTGAAAAATGGGTCCAGATTTCTCATATCTAGCCTAAAATGGGAAAAATTAAAAAAAAAAACTGGTCTAGCTTTTCATATTTTTGCGTAAAATGGGTTAACTTTTAAGAAAATTAGTCCACATTATTAGAATTTACATGTATAGTGGGTCCACCCTGTTATTGTTCCACACTGTTTGAAAATCCTGGCTACAGCTTTGACTGTATACTGCATGCTTCATATGTTCATGATGGCAACCATTGTACTACCAGTTTTAGATGACTGAACTAAATGCTGCTTGTAATTTATCAGTACTTTGATTGATTCAAGACTGTTCATTGGACATTTATTGATGTAAATTAGGTCAGTGTATCATACCAAAACAATTACGAAGAGCAAAGGATGTTTTTATTTTCAACAAATAAAAATCATGATGTCACTTGATGAGAATGTCAGCCCTCACCCAACAAATATTCCAACACTTACTGCTGATCACTGTATCTCACGTTAGATTCTTTAGAAAGATAAAAGCAAAATCCCATAGTTTACATATGTGTTTGTACAGAAAAAAGTCCTTGGTATCAGCACATTATAGAGACGAGTCGAAAGGCTAAGCAGTTAAGGCAGGGGAACCGAAACCTGTAGCTATAATATCGACTCTGGTGGTCAAACAAGTCTTAGGGCTATAAACCATATAGTAGGGCTCATTTGCACTTTAAAGAACACAGTATATCTTTCAAAACGAGTAGGGGTTACCCCCGGAGTACTGGTTCATACAGCCCCAGTTACCCAGCGGTTATGGATCCTGAGGTCCTTTGTAGGCTGTACCTTTGTAAATAATTACTACAATCTTCAGTCTGGTTTCCATAAAACCACTACATGCTATCGCCAACTCTTTTTGTTGACACCGACTGGCCGGTCAAATTCTCGCCAGCATTCTCGCTAGCAAAGGGACAGCTACACGTATGCAGTGAAACGATTGCAGCAATTTTATCAAAGCCAGGCTTTATATACAGGGACTTTGTTTTATCAAAAGTCAATACTGAACAATTTTAATGATTTATTACAATGAAAGAATTTGTTTTCAAGATGCTGAGGTATTGAATAAGAATGATCTTTTGGTTTTGATATTGATTGTGTGGATTGTAATTAGTATTGTATCTGTTACTTTAGTAAACAATATCGGGCTTCAGTCCCAGGTATTTCTGCCTAATAGCCCCGTCCCTTCAATGTGGCCCTACCTGCACTTATTAAAGTTATTTAGGCAGTGGGATTAGCAAGGAATTACTAACAACTTTAAAATGAATGCATATGGTCTGTTTCCTATCCCAACATTGTCAGTTGAGTGATGGTGGTATGGTCAGCTGTATAGATGCCTTTGGCTGTTCTCAGGCCATCGTTTTGACCTTCTAGGGTATCCCACAATTAGAAAAGCCTAATTACTGTCATAATACCCATTGAGTGAAAAAATACAGTAGATGGGAAATATTTGAGGATTAAAATGGTGGAGAACTTTCTGAGTTGCGATTTATAATTTTTTGCTACTTTTATTGTGTTTGTCAACTCCACTGATGGTTTTGTATTCCTGTTGGAATATTGGACTGTAATGGGCCCGGAAAAGCATTATTAATCCAGATTTTATGAATTTCTTTTCATGATTATGTCATCAAATTGGATAATTAGGTAATTGTAATGACTCTCTGCGATTTGCCAGATTTAAAGTGCTTGTATCTTAATTCAGTTTAGTTGTGGCGCCTATGAGTATCCAGAAACCAGTCCTTCAGATTTTTCCTGTATCCAAATGCACAAATAATGATGCAGAAAATGCAGAGATGGACATTTGAACACAAAATTTTATTCAAAAATCAAATTTGTTTCTTTTTGACCTCAAGACCCTCCAAGTAACATAATATGGTGAAGACAAGCCAAACCAGTCACTCCTCACAAATGGCCAAAACATGTTGGAATGTCAAAATTTTCGAAATCTATTTTATTGCACTAAACTAAACTTTATATCTATTTGATGACAATCTCTGCCTGAAATCTTTTGAAGGCTGATTTCTGTATGTTTAAACTTCCGTAACTTCATAACAAAATGTCAGATTTAAATGATTATTTTACCATTTTATAACTTTCATTTTATTGCTTAACCATGTATTAAAAAATATGAATTGATTTTTGTGAGAAGTAACAGGTTAGCTTGTTTTGTTATTTTACAGAAACTTTGAATTTTAACTATTACAAGATCACACTTACCTCCTTCAAATATATCTGGAATTCACTCAACGTAGTTTCTTCAACATCTTTTTTTTGCTCAACTTCCTTCCCTTCTAAAATGTTCCTGTGAATAACAAAATCACCCCCGGAATCAATTTCACCCGCTCCCCCACCAGCATCTTCTTCTTCTTTGTCCCGAGTATGGGGGATGGCAGAAAGCTTTTTTTCCTCCCCAACTACTGCTCGCATGTGGTAAGCAACGTTGTACATCATGTAAATCGAGAACATCCCAAGTGCGAGCAACATGTAGAGGATATCGCACTTGGGTAAACGGCGTAAGCGCCACTTTCTGCTTAGCCATCTCATTATGATTGGTTTATAGTGGTTACTTGCTCTCACATTGGATTCTATGAGAAATGACTTCAAGCTCTCCTGCCTAGGCAGGCCAGATTCATTCACAACAAATCAGTTGAGATGTAGCAGTTCCCTAGTGATTTCTGATGCCATACCCTAGGCCTATAAGTAGTGAGATGTACAGGGTCATGGGTCGAGCTCCTGCTGGCCGGCTTCCTAGTGATGGTGTACACAGCCTCATGCCAACTGTGAGACAATCGGATTCAATCACCCAGCATCAGATTAGTTTACGTATCTCTGTTCTGGAATATTCAGCAAATCTATGAAAACAAATGCAAAATGCAATAATTAAATTTTTTTGAAGTAAGTTGTGAATATTACAAGTACTGTAGCTATTAATTCACTTTACTTTATTGCTTATCATTCATACATATTTTTGTTTGTTGTTAAAAAACCTCCAACAATGGCCAAAATATGGAAACAGAAATCTTACTGACACACTTTCCAACTTTGCTTACAGCATTTTAATTGCTTTAGGAAGTTATCAGTTCTTGACGTTGTTTTAAGTGTGTGTTCTTTGTGTGGTTTATATGTTTGCTATTTTTATCATAAAAAGGGTGCTATTGTGGTAAATAAATACTGTAAAACAAGTAGTATACTGTACTATTAGTACCAATTTTTTCCCACACATGAGAAACTTTAGGTTACAACAGCTAGCTCTCCTCAAAATTGATAGTAAAACGAGCAATCAACACTTTCTTCAACTAACAAAAATAGAACATCAAAACTATAATTTACAAACACACAAAGTTGAAAAATAAAATATGTACCCTATGGTCAACGCATGTACTGTGCAGTACAGTATTTTATCTCAGCTCATATGCAATATCAACTTGTAGTTTTGGATATTTTTGTACAAGAAACAAAACAAAACATGAATTGTCAAAAGCAATTACTGTTCACCGACACAACTGCACAAGATTCAGTAATTCCTACATCAAAGGGTCAATAACCTTGCTCTTGGCGATGCAAGAGAATGAACTTGTCAACTAATCATTGAAAAAAAAACTGAAAAAATGTGTATCTATAAATCTCAGGAGGACCCAGTGCTAGTATGCTTATTGTAATTTTTTGTTAGCCTTGCTCTTCCTTTATGAGATTGAGAAGGTAATTATCCTGAGATCCTGAGATTTGACTTGACGTGATCTCGCTGACCATTGCACTGACTCACCCATTAAAATGCAGGAATTTCATTGGTGCATTCACTCAATAGGTTTTCAATATCTGGGTCATTTCACTGGTCCATTATTAATATTGATATTTTAAAAAAGTTCATAATATTTTAATGAATAATAATTTATAATCAATAAATTAACAAGTATAGCAAAATTGTTCATGATAATTCAGTGAAGTTCAAAAGTTATTTGAACATTCATTAAATGTTATATAATAATCATTTTAAAAACCATGCATCTCCAAATGTAGAGAAGATATGAAAAAGATTTAATTCACTGCCTCCAGACAGGGAAGATTGTTGACTTTACTGTATTGTACATGAATACTATTAAATGTTCCCATCTGAGATTGAAATATGATCACGGATATCTGAGGCATTCGGTGACAGACATGCAAGTCATTCAACCTACTATAATACTGTAAATTCTATATTATATCATATAAGCTCACCCCCTTCCCCGCCCCCGAATACAAAATTAGGCAAATTTTTGGGAGTAGGCTGGTAGTGGAAGTCCCCTTTTTAATCAAATGTCATGTACTCTGAGGACTTGTACATAAAATTAGGCATTAAGTTGGGGATAAACCCCCCTGGAGCTATGAGTAGTACTGTATATTCTATCAGAGACCCTGGTATTCTGCCAAAGAAGTGCAAAGACTGGTTGCTTTAGACAGAGGTCAAACAAATCCAACAAACCAAGGGGCTACCCATTACCTCCAGATACTGTAGGTTCCAAGTGTAAAAACCCTTTTTGGGGGTGGGGATGAAGGATGGTTTACGATTGTATTGCATAAATTCCTGTTTCCAAGTAGGCCACTCTGAAACCTTGTTTACCAAATCTGTAGGCCTATAGAGTGCCACTATCTTAATCTAGTATAAAAGAATCCATAATTGGTAAATCTAGCTCAATCTTGATTAAACAGCATTTTTAGGGTCTAAAACAAAGCTTGCTCGCCAAATACTCTGACATAAACACTTGCCAACTTGGAAATTTAGGGCCTCAACAAATGTAAACATCATTCCACCTCGTTAAAGAGCTACATCAAATTTCAATCAACAAGCACAGCAGTCTATGTTAACTCGTCTCGTTTAATTAATTAACAGCTCCACCTGGTTAACTTGCCGCTTGGTGCCAAGCATTTTCTCCACTAAAGCAATAAGAGAAAATTTACAGTAGAAGCTAATGACAAGCAGTATTCAGGGCCTAAGAGTTTGGGTAATTTTCAGTAATAACTACACTATAGGTTTTTTAAGGTACTTTACGCTAGGTATAAATTAACCACCCTCTCAATCCATGTATATAAAAATAACTACATGTTCAACTAGAATTGAAACTTTTTCCAAGAAATATCAGTGTTTAAGAAAATGAAAGTTTTATATCATATTGCATTATAATTATATGTCAATAAAATAATAAGCTTGTATGTCATCATGAATGTATAGTATAATATATAAAACGATATACATTTGTCTTCTTGGTAAAAGGAGAGAATGCAACATGTAATAGACAGAATGAAACTTTCAAGCTGCTATGCCTTGTGCTCAAGAAATTAAGCAAGACACACAATATACCATCACGAATGAAATAAGAAAATTCCCGCTGGAACAGATATTGAATGATTGCTGTTATCTCCAGGATGGGTTATTTTTACTGCTGTATAACACTAAAAATTACCCAAAAAATCTACTACAGTACATACCATGCGACACTTTGTTAGCAAACTTTTTTGCACTACTCAGCTACTGTTCTGTACCATACTCAACAGTAGCTAAATCTCTTCCGAGGTCTGGTAATAGTCTCAAGATCAGATTCATAAATCTTAACTGTAGATCTTTCGTTTCTTACTTAACAACTTACGTAACTTCACACATAAAGCAAAGACCTAGTGAGGTCATATATTAAAAAATCTGTTGTCAAATTACTTGAGCACAAAAGAGTTAATTATAAATCATAACTTTAATGTGGAATATCCTGAGGAACATCCCAGGAGGGAAATCCTGTTGGTCAAATTGAACACATTATGATTGGCCAAGGCCTGTGATTGGCTGACATATTACAAAGTTTGGATGACAACAGTATTGCCTATAGCAAAGGGATACACTGTAGTGTCACTGTGGGTAATCTTATGCTGGGTACCCAAATGGTTGTTTCCAAGTTTTTCCCATTATGAATCTTGGGGGAAGAGGGCAGGTCTTAAAAAATCTACATATTTAAAATTTCATTCATGTCATTAATTTTTTTAGCAACTTTTCATAGCAAAAGTGTAATGGTCTACTCACTAATTTGATATGTTAGTATTTGAAACACCCATTCTAAAATAGATTTACCATTACAAACAAGGAGGGTTTTATACTGTATCTCATATAATAGGACACTGAATAATGTTGAAAGGTAAACCCTACAGTGTCTGTTCATGGTCAAAATAATTCATACCAATCCCCTAGAGGTACATCACCCAGCGATTGTGATTTACCAGATAATGAGCTTTTATCATTTATCTCTTAGAATTTTTGATTGTTTAAAGGGACTGTGCACCTTTTCAAGTTGAGCAGAGTTGTGAAAAACACCATCACTATGAAAAACAATACTCCAGTGAAAACATAATAACTTTAATTCTTTTATTTTCCCTTCTTTTTTTCAATGCAGGACAAGGAAAAAAATTATCAAATATCTGTAAAGATACTTACCGGTAAATAATAATAGTGTACTGTACATTTGTACTGTACTTGTTAAGGTTAAAATGTAATAAATCTATGAATTTATAAATTTTCATTTTGTTTGTCCTATGTATAAAAAAAAACAAAAAACAACAATTGCCCAATATGTAAATCATGTGCATTATGATGTCATACCAAACCCATATATGGGCAAATCACAGGTATCTGCCACATACTGTAGAACTTGATAAACAGAACCCTAGATCCTTTGACTGTTTGAACTTAAGCCATCTTTCCAAAATTTTTACAGAATAAGCTAATTTCCTGCTGTCTACGATAAAACATTAAAGCAAGCATTGCAGACGGCGACACTGGATTTCTGGGAACCTGATACATGCGGCACACCTCTGAGCAAAGCAAGCAGAAGTATATGGCATGGTTGTCAGTGTCGTATCTATTAGGGTCTTCAAAATGGGGAAGGATGGGGGGATTGTGAAGTGGGAGGCGCTAGCTCACAAAATAGGGTGATATGAGTTGATTTTTTATCTACTGGAGTGCGATTTTTTTGCTTCAAACTTTTTCAATTTTAGGAGGGGAATACACCCCACCTGTGCCCTCCCCTGACACTTAACAGATGGTCGTGAGTCGGATCAGAGAAAGGGAAAGTTTTTGAGACAATTACACATTGGTCATTTTGTATTCGTTAGAATAAAAACACACAAACAGAATAAGGTACAGTAATTTCTATATTCCAATGGCAGATACCTATAGTATGTTGTAGCAACCCATTAGAGGGACAAATTAGTTGATCCACACTAACCTGACTGTGTCAATAAAACAAGGATTTTATAGTACCTCTGAGGATTAGTTCAATTTTTAAAGCACACCTTGGTTTTCTTTAGGTATAGTCAGTACATACAAGTGAAAGAGAGATACTGTACTGGTTTGTCTATTAATAGTATACTGTAGACCTATTCATGTGCCGCCTTTTGTATGATGCTGAATAAATATTGAATGGGATAAAAACATCTTTCACAAACAGTCAATAGCAGCAATACTCAGGTGTCTGCTAGTATACAGTACGATGTGATTGAGTAGTTTAAAAAAGAAAACAATTTCCTTACATCATAACTTTCCCAAATGGAGGCCACATAGAATTTATTGATAGTTTCATATCCGGATTTGAAATTATTTTTTGGTGACGGTATTTACCATTTGCTATTTACTATCCTATATAATGACTGATAAATGAAAATAAAAAAAGAAACAAAGATTTTGCCAACATGGAAAAATTATTGTTTTTTTTCTTGAAAAATAGACTTCAAAATTTGATGGCTACCTGGATATGAAACTAGCAATACATTTTATTTGGCCTTGGGTTTGATAATCTAAATTGTATATTAATATCCAAAGAGATTTTGGCAACCAATATCAACAGTTTGGCTAAACTTGAATCATAACAAAATACATTCCATGTGTAAATTACCTGATTTAATTTCAATAAGATTTGCATCATTGACATTTAAACCTAACAAGTTTTGAAAGCCAAACAATAAAAACACCATTCAATCACCTCTGACTGCCTTGTGTCACCGTGGAACCTCAACCCATCCGAAATAAACCACCTGCTCGGGATGGGGTAACAAAAATCATGAAAACCTGAATTGGTAGAATGTATGTCAATTTAGCATAGTTTATGGAGCTGAGCAAAATCCTATGTTTAGATTAACAAGATTGGCCTGGTTCCATGTGTAATCTGCTTATAAATAGTGCCCTCATTCTTGTTAAGATTTCAACTTTGTACTGTATGGACTCAGATATTTATATATGTATTTTGAAATTGTTTGGTGAATTTGTATGTAAATGTGATGTTCAAGTAACATATGTGGCAAAGACAAGCCAAACCAGTCACTCGTCGCAAATTGTTTCATAGAAAATAGCCAAAACATGCTGAAATGTCAAATTTTAAAAAATCTATTTTATTGCACTAAACTAAGCGTTATATATCTATACATCATGCTATGCTATTATTTTCCCCATTTTCAATGTTTAAACAACACTTTTTAAGGATTTCATGATAGTTTCTGCATGAGAAATGCCTGAAATTATAAACTTTCAAGGCTGATTTCTCATATAATAATAATAGTTGGATTTGTAGAGCGTATCATGCGAAAAAGCCTCTATGCGCTTGGTGATTGAGCTCTTTGAGTTGGACATTTGAGAAAAAAGAAAGTAATAGGCCTATTGTTCTTTAAACAGCTGTATGTTTAAACGCTTGTAACTTCATAAGAAAATGTCGGATTTGAATGATTTTTAGCATTTTAAATTTATTTTACTCTTTAACCATCTATTAATAACTCAAAATCGATTTTTGCGACGAGTGACTTGTTTGGCTTGTCTTTGCCACATATAGACACTGCAAAATATTGATGGTAATGAAATCAACTAAATGGGCAAGGCCCTTATCTATGTTTGTCTGTCTACCCAGGAGTACTGTATACCTGGTAGGATGTTGTAGCATTGAATGTACTAGTTACGTGCGCAAAGCAAGTAGCGTAGTACTAGGTATACTCCCCAAAAGCAGAGAAGGATGCACTTAGTGCTGGTCTGCCATTGTATGTTATCCAGTGACCAGGGATAATAACGCTCAGCGCCTCTGATTATACAATTTGTATAATTTGTATTTATATTTGTATTGGCGCTACACTACAGTATATAAATATTAAGCATTATTATTCTTATTAAGCATTAAATACAGTAGCTTACATGTAAAATAATTTTTTTTAATTTTCAGAAATCTATGCTTACAACAAGACATGTTAAGATTTTAAAGATAGTGTAAAAGTGAAAATGTTGAGAAAATGAATATTTAGTACCTGAAATTCAGAGATAAAACTGTCTTTCTATAATTTCTCATGTTACTGTAAGTACTCTACTTTGTATGATATTTTTTATGTAGGCCTATAAAATTCATAATGTGGAGTTGAATAGCTTGGTGATTAAGATGCTTGCCTTCTCTCCCAGGGTGCTAGGTTCAATTCCTGTCAGTATTACTGGATTTTTTTTTACAACCAAAACAACTCCACCTCCTATTATTGAGATTAAGCCTGTTTTCATACGCAACTCGCCTTTCACATTTACCGGGTAACCTACAGCCCTACAACCAACCATCGTTCATGCTTTACATTATTTAGTGGGTAGTTAGAAGGTAATGCTGTGAAATCGCTAGAGTCAACTTGCATTATGGGATATGGTGTCATGACTTTAATAGCTTTGCTGACTTGTCACTGATCTTGGTTGTACTGTTTTTACATTTATTTAAAATAATTTGGCCTCTATTAAAGCTGAAGCCCAGCTCTTCCATTTTGGTGGTTATGAGCCGGTAGGTTTGGGTGTTCCACTTTGTTCCATCCAGGAAGTTGTTATAGTGACTATCAACTCCCTGTTCCATCGAAACCTTCCTGTATTTGGGTAGATAGACCCCACAAACCTATCCGCGCGAAAGTTGCCTCTTCTGTCCACGCTTTGTTTCGGTTCATTGTTGTTCGGAAAATTAATCGGAAATAATAAAATAAAGTTACAATTTTGAGGTGTAGAAGCAATGTGCATGTTGTCGTCTTTTGAGATTTGAGAGAAACGAGACAGGAACAATGCAACAGATGACCCATATCATCACACTCATGGCATATTGGTTTGGCCTGTAGGCCTAATAGTCATTAATGAAGTTACGAGGATTAGCCTTGGGCAACTTTTTATCGGTAAGTTTGGTGGGTTGACTGGACGGCATTTCAGCCAGATGTGTTTTCAATTACCCATTATGCTTCTTTTGAATTATTTTATACCTAACATTTACCAGGTAATAACACAAACATGAATGGGCCCTTTAGTTTGTGTAAAACATTGTGTATGGATGGATGTTTTTCTTGTGAAAGGAATTGTTGTCGCCTACAAAATAGGACATATAGGTGATATACTGTATTAGCTGTTGTCTGCCTAAATAAATAATAATATAAAAGTGTAGTGTAATCTTTGTGAAGTTTTTAGGTCATATTCTATATGTTTACTATACGTTGTTTACATGACAAGACATGCGTTACGCCACTCTCTTGCAGTTACCAGCGTGACAATCCTTACGTTAACCTGTCAGAGTAATATTCTTGTATGTTAAGTTGTAGATATGACATACAGTACGTTACGTTATCACACTAACTGTAAACGTGACAATCATTACGTTATGTTGTTGGAATATTCATTGTTCGGTTGTCACGATGTTACTCACATTAAAAGATAAATAAATTTATAATTTCGAAATGTCTAGATATTATGTTAATGTGTCATTTCACATTCATAGTCAAGTAGACATCCAAGAACTTGAGTTAAGAAAGTGATTATTTCCTCATGGAATCTAGCAAGCCTTGTTATCTCCAATGACCTCAGTGACCCCGGCACCAAACCATCTAAATCCTAGCACGACAGACTGACGTAAACATTGCTCTCTTGTGCGAGCTTGGCAAGATAACAGGGCTTAGGCCATGGTGAAGACATTTAACTCCTGTGAAAAACAATTTTTAGTGCTATATGGATTGTGTTTGTTAATGTTATTCACAAAGTCTGTAACATTAGAGGAAAAATTCCAACAACTTCCAGTAAGCTGGTCCAATTAGGTGTTTGTTTATTGATTTTAATGCTTAGGCCCAATAAAAAAAATGATTAGTTTATCACCCTTGCACGCATGCCTTCTATGGTACTGTGGAAAAAAAATTGTTTTTTGAAAAAAAAATATTTTTGAAAAAAAAAAAAATTTTTTTTGAATTTTTTATTTTATTTATTTATTTTTTTCATTTATTTTATTAAATAGTTAGTAGATATTGTTTGCATTATCTAAATCATGTTTTACTTTGAATATCAATGCACCAGCAAACAACCCAAGGGTAATATTTGGCTTTAGCAAAATAAAAAATTTAAAAAGAAAGCCTCCCGCCCTCCCTCATCACTTTTCCTGCCCAGATAGGGTGATAAACTAAAAATATTTTTTATAGGGCCTTAACTTGAAATTCTACAAGAAAACTTGTTTATTGAAAGGTATCAACATAATCATTGGTGTACAGAAAATAGTGTGATTTTGACTTTATAATAAAACTGAAAAAACAATATCATAAAAATTAGGTACATTTAGGTACCACTGTGATTTTCTTGTTGATGAGTAAGCCAAGCATTGATGTATCATCTTCAAATATTATTATCTTTATCCTGATCATATAGAGGTTGTTTTTTTTTTAATGTCTTCATGCATAATTTTACCCATCTTACTTACCAAAACATTCATGTTTCAACAAACACAAGCTTGTCAAACAGTGTGGGATAGTAAGGAAAATAATCAATACAATATACTGATACATGATCAATAGTTTACCTATACAGTTTTCAGTACAAACAATTTAAAAAATGATGCATACTGTGTAATTTAAACAAAAGAAAATTAAATTTAAGAAAACATTGACAAAATCAAGGATAATTTAATTACGTTTACAGCTTCCTCAGCTGTAAAGTGGCTTTCGCTGATAATAAAATTGATTTAATTTTATATTTTGTTTTATCAAATTATAATTAATAATTATCATTATTGCATGTGGAATTTATGAAATGCCTATAGCTAATCTTTCTAAAATTGTCTTCTACTTTTGAAGAAATTATTTTTTAAATTTAATGAGTCAATAGTGACCGTAAAAAGAATATGAAAAAATGTTGCTTGCGATCATGGTAGATATGAAATACGTAATTAACGGTAACACAAGAACATCCGATTAAAATGTCAACCGAATATAATTTAACCAATTAGGTGGAGCAACAGCCAGGAAGGGTTAACTGCTGATACGCATTGAGCAGCGAAGGGCAAAGTTTGGTAAATGTAACGGAGAAAGGAAGAGATTACGGGATAAGTCATAAGCGAAACTTCCTTCTCTGAAGGTTTCTGGTTTTGTGTTGGATTATTGCCAAATTTTTGAACGAATGTTTCCTTTTCGTTGACTGTCATTATTTGAAACTTTAAATTCAAAAGAACTAAAATAATACACTTGCTTTTACACTAAGGGGTCGCAAGTCGTGGAGTCTCCTAGAAATCTCCAGCAAATTCATTCATCAATTTTCATGTTTTTACTACTGTTGTATCAATTGTCTACTGGAAATCAGTGCCAAAGTGTATCACCTTGCACAGGAAAATATGATTAGATGTGTTAATAATAAAGCTAATTTGAACAATCACCTAGATGTGGATTCCTAGTGGCGATGCAAGAGATTCCGCCAATAATCCAATGAAAGCACCTGTACAGGTATTGTTATTACCCCTGGTCAATGAATCTGATATACTGTATTGTAACCTCTAAAATCCCCTGCTCTCTGGTGTGTACTCAAAACCATCGCATACAAAGCCACAACATCCTACCAGGTACCTATTTATACTCCTTGGTCAAATGAAAAACGCTCTAAGACATGTTTTCCTGATTTGACAAATCATAATAACTTATAATTACTACAGTATATTTATGCAAAAATTAACTTGACATTAATAACTGATTGTGATGAATGCAAAAAACCCCCATTCAAAAGCTGATAATTTTAATAAATACATGCGTCATCTGTTCTGATAGTGTACTGTGCATCATCAACACGAACAAAAATTAGAATTGTACTTTGTTTTATCAGATCAGTAGGCCTACCTTTGACCTTCATACATGCATACATGACAGCTTTCATTATTGTATAATTATTAAAACTAAATTTTGTTGACAAATGTTTCCTGTAAGAAACCTTGCAAGATGTGTATAATAGAATATTGTTGCATTTTAAAACATAAATAAATAATAAATGCCAAGTAACCGTGTTTATGTTACACCTATTTCAGCATGCCGTCACAGTTGAAATACGTCATATTTCCGCAAATGCCACATATCTGAACTAACATTTAACAATAGAAGATTTCGTTACATAAAATTTCATTTCACGATTCAAAATGATCCCATCTGTTGGATAGTATGCAGTTTTTTTAGTTTTATAGTTTCAATTTTAACTGTTGACATGCAAAGTTGACTCACACTAGCTTCTAAATGGAACAAATGACCAGTAGTAAAATTTACTTAGAAAAGTGTGCACAGATAAAACAGTAACAAACTTGTTTGAATGTCTGCTTGGCGAACTAATAATATATTACTTGCTTGCGGTACACCATGTAGATGGTAAAGAACAGGATTGTTCTCCTACATTGACATTGAGACGTTCTGCACAAAAATAACAGTTCTTTTCAGAACTATCAATGTGGTGTACCGCAAGAGGTAAATGTTGATACTGTAATTCCCAAACTTCTTGAATGTACACTGTATTTATTATTAGGTCAAAAATATGCGTTTATTGGAATACAAGATTCCAATCTTCCCTCAGCTGTCAAAAGTTGTTCCATGATCAAACTATCAACAATTGTGGTATTTTATCTCCAATCTTCTCACTAATCTGCCTTGATTTTCTGCTACGCACATGGAAAAAACGATTTGCAAAGTAATGAACTTTCTACAACTGCATGAGACTTATTAAATGCTAATTGCTTATTTGTTTTTCTTCTTCCAGTAGGAAGGGTTCAGGACATTTGATTTATTATTGTATCCATGGGTGTTCCCTAATTACTCACTAAGGATCAGTTTCCTATGAAGTTCATGCCAATTCATAATTGTTCATTCATGCCTTTAGATGCGCATGTTAATATCTTTCCTCCATGTTAATATTATTGACTTGCGCAGGTTAAAGAAGTAAATATAATCAAGCATTTCCTCAACCTGGGCATGTTATAATTTACTGTACATGATTAAAGAAGCTATACAAAAATTTATACCAATCCATATTAGAGCATGGAGGTATAAATACCTCCATGATTAGAGAGCCCTTTAAACAAGTCATTATTGGAGAAAATGATTGTTTGACGTGGGTTGCACAGCACAAAGACAAGTAAGTTTGGTAAAGCCAATGGCAGACATAAAATTTATTGAACATTCTAGGCAGTAACCTAAACCTGCCCAAGCCTTTTTCTTTTTACATTGAAAATGGTGACAAATTTGTAGGCCTACAAGCGTGTCCTTGTACAAGCGTCGCAACTGTCCTGTCTCCAGGGACAATTTGGGACTTCTGGCCTATAAGGAATACACTTGTGCAAACTGAGTGAATTGAGATAAGGTATGCTTTACATTTTCATCCAGTCATATTTTTATTTGACAAAAACAAGTGCATTTTTATATTACCTGCACAATTTAAAGACATCTATACAATCAAGCATTGCCACCAACTTGGTTATTTTAATTAGAGAAACTTGCTATAGCTAAAAATAATCACTACATATGAACATAATGTTCTTTTTGGGGGGAGGGACGGGGAGGGAAGCAAATGTCTCTACTGATTAAACTTATTTGACTCCTTAAAAATCATTATAAATGTAAGTAATTTAAATAGCCTTCAATGATTTTGATTTCTCTATGCCTACAATGATTAAATTTTAAAAAGCTGCAAGAGTAATTGAAATATATATTCAACCTATTTCATAAACCAGCAATCCTTACAATTATTATCAATGCAAATTAAACCAGCAATCCTTACAATTATTATCAATGCAAATTCTTTAAAAAATGATTACAAAAATTATATATATAAAAAAAATACACATAGACTTCCTCATGAATTGATGATCAAAGGAAATCACTTGCTGTAAAATTGTTACATCAGGGAGTTGTTCTAAATAACAACTCCCTGGTTTATCTTCAGGAATAAAAGCTGCTTTTTATCTATAAAACATCCATCAAAAACATCCATCAACAAAGTGAAATATCACTATAAAAGCAATAACATAATCAAATGAAATACTTACCGAATAATTTGCAAAGCCAATAGGTACACTTAATTTCTTATTATGAAACGCTACTCGTGAAACTTTAGTCCACAATGATGCATGTAATCCAAGTTGTGTCATAAAGGTTTTCCTGGCCTACTTTAACAAGTTGTAATATAACTACAAGCATCAAGTGACGTTATAAATTGCAAGTAAGTCAATAGAGGGCTCACTTCAACTTTTAAATAGTACCCAGACAGATTTACAGTTTCAATACAAAATGCCACGCATAAACTGTCTAATACCAATTTAAGGTTTTAAAGCTCAGAAATCATATCTTTAATGATAACAGAATGAAAACTGATACATTTGGCCAGTCTCTGATTGATTGAATGTTTAATTAACTTTATTTGATTCTTTAAATGAGTGGAATCACCTAGCTGAAGCTCCATTGTTGGCCATCTTCAGGCTAAGCACTCTCACCTTATTAACTAGTTGTTCTTAATTGTTATTTCTTACCGATATTACTTTGAATAGTTCTGCCATACAACAATACAATCTCAATCTCTTGCCTTACGATAATCCATAACCAAATATAATAACAACAATGGTTTTACAGTGGCAACTTACTTGAGTATAGGACCAACAGTAGTAATAAGATTCTTAATTGGAGGTAAAAAAAAAAGCTGAAAAATCTATTCTGATTTGGAAATTTTTACAGAATGGGATGTTAGATAATATTACTAATGTTATGGTGCTATTCAATAGAATAGGACACCAGTATACACATCAAAAAAGAATGATACTCGCTCGTTCTGTTTAACATACAGTATTATTTTAATTCAACAATACTTTAATTTTTTTGGTTTTTCTTTTTATGTTAAAATTTCAATTATTTTCCCTCCCTATGAACCACCCTTCAACTCTTAACTTTTGTCCTCATCTTGAACAACACTTTTAGTTTACTCTTCTTTATTTCAATATGTTGTAATTCATAAAATTTTGTACCATTGGCCGTATTCATACTTGATATTTTTTTAGCGATAATCATACGTGTGTTTCCTAGCAGCCCAAGGTGTAGATTTTCTAGGTGTTCATATACTTGTTGAAGTTATCGCGCAATACACAGAGTCTAAAGATTTGACATGCTGAAGAAGATTTATTGTGCAATGGATTTTCAGAATTCTTTTCAACAAATCCCGATTCGGGGCACATATTTAATTTGATTAGTGGTAATCTCTATCTACCAAATCGTACAGGTAAGTTTGAATGAGCCCAGGCCTAGATACAATATCAATACAAAACTATCTATTATTATTCTAAAATATTTTCACACTTGTCTTATTGCAGTAATCTTCAATCTATAAATTACCAAGCTAGACTGAACTGATTCTATTTGAAACTTCGCCCTACGCACCAACCTTCGAAATAGCTAAACCAAAGGTCCAAGATAGGTCTTGGTGGCCCTCTGGTCTGTAGTACTACTTCTACGTTCTACTGGAGGCTGGAGCACCAGGAAAGCCAGGCTGAAGGCAGGGGCCTAGGCCTAGCCTTTCCAGCTGGCGTCAGCCTGATATAGGCTCAGGAGATTGCATTACATTTATTTTTTAAAATTATATTAAAAGAGAAATTAAACCGTCTTACCTAGAGAGTAAACCACAGTTTTATGTACTACACAAGTCACATTTTCGTGTTTGATGAATGGACGTAGCGTTGGTTTGTTTACACCAAGCGCCCTCTATATTATTACTTCGCGGTGTTTTTTTTCCAATGTTTACCACAGAGGGCGTTTACAACTAAATGATTGATGGAACCACACAGCAAATATAAACACTGCACGTACATCTGCTAACACTTCAACCATAACAACACGAATGGTACATCTAAATTCTCAGTAAGGTCGTTCAGTACTCAGAAAACAGCTTACTTTAAGCTGTTATTACTTTAACATACATGTTATTTGTAGACTTTATTCTGAAACCATGTTGGCAAGATTTCGTCAAGCCGTGAACACGGTTTTAGGGAACATGCAAAATTTACCACAGCAGTTGCAGAATCGGCTAGGTGGAAATTCCACAGCTAAACAACAGCAAACGGCTGCAGCTACAGATGATGCCTCTTTGGCTAAGAAGACAGAAAAGGAGAAGGTAGATAAGTTTGATTACACAAGACCAGAGTTTCTCCAGCTTAGTTTTGACGAGGTGGAAGTTACCGCTGATCATCATGTTAGGCCAATTTTAGTGCCCCGAGATGTGTCAAAATTGCCTTGGAACACAGGTTATGCTGAGTAAGTATGGAGTGATGTGATGATGATGTATAGGGCCTACATCCATGATTTATTAAAATATTCTAAAGTTCACCATTCTGGTAAGCCGGACACGGCAACGCGAGTTAGGTTATGACATCTCGCTGGGGGTGACTGTATAATTGATCACGCAATAACGAGGGGGCGCGTCGTCCTGTAATTCGAAACAGCTATAATGTTGAGACGGGAAGTGCATAGTACGACGTTCATGGTTGACTGAATTCCCCGTCGCAGCTCCCCGCGTCACCCATTTCGAAAGCTCGCTAATGAGAGCAAAGTCGGATTCGTCGATGCAGTGAGTGCCTGACTTATAGTATAAATTTTCTATTGTTGATATGCTATCTTAGCACGGTACCTCCCATGATGGAGCACAGTTTTATTATGCAATTAAAATCAAGGTGCGAATACACTAGAAAGTAGAAGCCGAAGGATCCATTATGTCTTGTTTCTTGAATGAGAGTCGGTGATTGGTCAGAATATTTGTTGTCGCGCGATAGTTTTTGAAAAATAGAAAATTATTCTGCTGAGCGCGTAGTCGTGTCGCATTCTTTGTGGATGACTATAAAGAAAGCAATAGTGTCTATTTTTTTCTGCCGCTGTTGCACTCTCTAACTAAAAAAAGGTAAAAGCTTAGCTATTTTCTGTAGTGTCCAAAACGACTAAATATTTGCTTTATAAAGTCAGTTGCATTGTTTTATGTAATGTATTTTAATCATTTAACTGCTGGTTGTAGCCCATTGCGATATGATCAATACAATAACTGTGCGTGTGCATTAGCTGTACATATGAGAATGCTTTGTTACTAGTAGTAATACGTACACCAACATTCTTTGATACAATGAATAAACTAATTGTGGTTGATGGCATATGGTTATATAACAAGGTGATTGACTTTTAAAAAAATGAAAAGACAATTGCCAGTGCTGAAATAATTCATCATAATTTTTACACTACATTTTGATCTCTTTAACGAATGTCTACCAGGACATTAAGTTAGTTAGACCTACCTAATAATAAAATCAAGTTCATCAATACCACAATCAATTTATTCATTGCTCTAACAAAATTTTTATTTTTTATAGAATGCTCAATATTGCAAAGTGTATTCACATAGCTCATTATGCCAAGACCATGTCATGCTTTACATTATTATCCAGTCATTGGATTAAACACACTACAGAACACATTCTCAGGCCCCTTGGGGAACTAGTAATGTTTAATCAGTTTTATTGGTATTCAAAACCTACCATGTACTATGCCAATACACTTATGGCTATAGAGATATAATAGTGCCTTGCCCGAGGACACAAAGGTTTGAATCCTCATTCTCAACCTTTCGTTCGATTGAAGGCCCAAAGTCTTACAGTGTATACCCACATCACATGATTCATATTTTAATTCTTGTAAGTCGGCCCTCAACGGCACCATTTAAAAGTTCCACTGTACTGTGTTGCCAAATGCATGTTCAAAAAGTACTGTACTGTGTTGTTGTGTGTTATAAGTCAAAGTATAATAATTATAAAATGTTATGAAATATATGACATGACTAAAAGATACAGTACACCATTGCTGTTCATGAACATCAGGCCAAATACATTCGTTCCTACAGTAATGTAGAATAGGAACCAATATGAACTAATGAGTATACATTGTAAAGATATAATTACATTGACAGAAAATTATGACAGAAAACAATAGTTGTCATAATGCACAACCGGTTCCATATCAAATACATGAAATTTGTGGGTTCCTGTAGGCATCCCCACTGAGTGAACCTGCCCTGGCTACAGTAACTGAGGGCTTCAGCCCTCTACCCAGCTGACACCAGTGCACAATCAAAATTCCAATAGGAAACTCATTATTCAAGCTATACAGTAATTCACAACAGCCTACAACAATTAGAAATATTAACCATAATACTACAAATATATTTGCAATAATACAGTATGACAATCAAATACACTTAAATATTTTGTTCTGCTGTAATCAACGACTATTAAAATCAAAACCACTCAATTAAATGATTTTAAATGACAGATATGATATGATTTAATAAAAGTATGTGGTATCTATGTATACAGTAGTAACATATTCAACTTAACCACCAATGTGATGAAGCTATAAATGACTAGTGTAATTTCCATAAGGACAAATAAATTCGATTCTGAATCTGATTTTACATTACATTTATGAAATGATTTTAAAAAGAACCCCAAAACACATCATATTTAAAAATTAATGAATATGAAATTATACTTTACTCTAATATGACTAATGTTTCGACATTGAACAATTAATTTGGATAAAAAATTAATTTCTAAATGTATAATTTCAAATCTCTATTGGCCAGACTGTATTATGGAACAACTGGTTTTACTTCCTCTGTGAATTAAACTATCTTAAGGAACCGGTTGTGCATTATGACAACTGTTGTTTTCTGTCAATGTAATTATATCTTACAATGTATACTCATTAGTTCATATTGGTTCCTATTCTACATTACTGTAGGAACGAATGTATTTGGCCTGATGTTCATGAACAGCAATGGTGTACTGTATCTTTTAGGAGGGTGGGGGAGAATGACAAAAAATTAGGTTTATGTGTCTCAAATTATTACCAGTATTTTTTCAATTTTAATTTTTAAAATTCAAGATTAATGATTCATGTATTCATTGTCATATCAAATACATGAAATTTGTGGGTTCCTGTAGGCATCCCCACAGAGTGAATCTGCCCTGGCTAACTGAGGGCTTCAGCCCTCTACCCAGCTGACACCAGTGCACAATCAAAATTCCAATAGGAAACTCATTATTGAAGCTATACAGGAATTCACAACAGCCTACAACAATTAGAAATATTAACCATAATACTACAAATATATTTGCAATAATACAGTATGACAATCAAATACACTTAAATAATTTGTTCTGCTGTAATCAACGACTATTAAAATCAAAACCACTCAATTAAATGATTTTAAATGACAGGCGATGACTCAAGAGTTTTGTTATGTTGGCTTGATTGGAGGCTTATCGTAGATATTAAGATCAATATTAACAAATAGAATGAATTGGAATTACACCGTAAGATTTGGTGAGAGAGACGTGGCTGAAATATTGACCGAATGTCGGATATTTAATACTTCGTGGGCAAACTTCCCTTGATCCGTGACAAGGACATCAACTTAACACGCAGATTATTATTTTATGAATTTCAATAGGTTTCCTATAGAAATTCCAAGGAATATTAATTGTTTTACTGCAGTTATTCTGGAAACCTCTTCAAACATTAAATAAAAAACAAATATTTTTGGTTTTGCCTGTCTATTTTTAAAGTGTTAATCAGTGAGTAAAATACAGTATATATCAAATGATGTGGACAATTATATAAAAAAAGAATTGAAAAGGACAAAATATACAGTAATATTGATAAAACTTTCAATTGAAATCCAAATGCTGTACAGACATTAAAAATATCTATCAGAAAATCTGAAAAACTCCTTTTCAAAAATATCTTATTTTAAGGATCAAAAAATTAATAACCTTCAATGATACAAATAAATATTTGCTTGTTTACGACTCTTTTATTTTAAAGTCCTGTCCAGACTATCAAATTGTTTAAATCATGTGACATGCCTAAATATGGTCATGATGACATCCCATCATGACCATATATAGGCATATCATGATTATAGGAGCAAACAACAATTTTTTGTCAAAATAACATTTGATAGTGTGGACAGCTTTTTAGTCTACAAAAATTCTATTTTTTTTATTTCCAGCCAATACAGCAATGATGGTACTTGTAGATATGCTCATTAATTAATAAGGAAGTTGTTTTTTTTTCATTCAGAGTTTCCAATTGCAAACTAATAATTTACTTAAATATACCATGGAGGAAAAAAATAATAAAAATAATTTATTATAATAAATAATTTATTTTTTTCCTCCATGAATATACAAAGTATTATTAAATTATTCTTTGTTGTCTGATTTTTTTTCTCATTATAGATAGGAATATCTTTAATGACCTCATTTATAAAAGCTAAAGTTTGGGAGTTGTCAGAAATATCCTTGCATCTGTATTAAAGGGATTTTCAACTGACCTTAAATCTGGCAAGTTATGACAAACAGCGAAAAGTGCATAGCAAGCGTTATTGTTGTTCGGTCAACTTTAGATTGGTGTGATTTGTTGTGCCAGTTAGAAATAAGGGTGGATTGTCTGGGTATTTTTTATATGCCTGACCTACTTCTAATTTTTCACCCCATACATTTTTGCCATTAAAATGGAGACTTCTGGGATAAAATATCTGTGGTTAAGCTCTCAATTTATTTAAAAAGCTTGAGAATTGCTCTTTTCCTACATCATTTTCAGCTTCCTGAGGAAACAATATTATATGACTCTGGATTTTTTAGATTTTGGATGGTCATACCTAGGTAACACAAGCTTTTTGCCTTTATTATCATGTACAGTACTGTTCTCTTAAATTCATAATTTTTAATGTTATAAAAACAAATATAACTGAAAAAGAAGGCAATAATTTTAATCATTATACCAAGGAGAATATGTATTAAATGACCTAAAGAGTGAATATACCAATCCACAAGAATAGTGTTGAATATTTCGCCGTATGAACGACACATCAGCAACATCATTTACTGTTTATTTTTAATTACTGTAGCAGAATGCACATTATTACAGTATTATCATTTTTGTCTAATTTATCATTGTTTTTTAACAATGCCGATACAAACACAGGTATGTGGACTTGGAAACAAGTTTTTCAGTATGTCTTCGTGTAATTGTCAGGATCATCGACTGTTTATTATGGAAATCAAAGTTCATGAGAAACATACCGTGTATAATAGGGCAAAGTTGTACCACATGACAAAGAGCATCAAGGCAGGAGTTATCCAAAGGAGGCTTAAACAGGGAACATTACTGGGAATCCCTCGGGGCCAAGGACATGCGTTTGTGTCAGGATATGGGATAATTCAAAGATTATTTCAGGAGAACTGTGCAGAAATTTTAAAGTAGTCTTGGTCATCTTGATGATGATATAATATACATCATATAACAACATTATTCAAAATTTCACTGTACAATTGTACAAAATAAAACAAGAAACAAACAAACTTAACATTTTTCAGTCAATCATCATATTTTTGCAACACTTACCAGTAGTTCTTCGTCGTGCAGGAATCATTTAATATTGTTTTCATGAAAATTTTGCTTATTTTATTGCACCCCTCAATGTTGACTTAGAATGTCTGCTGTACCTTTAGTTGTTAAGTATATATTACTGTATCATCATACACATTTTTCTGCTTTCCTTTAGAAATACTATGCTGTATGATGACATGGAAAGTATACAATGGGACTTTAGCTTGACAATGTTAACAAAACTTGGCTTCTTATTCCAGTGACTCTAGTTTTAGCCTTAAATTTGTTCTTAAAATCAAACCAAATCATCTCTATTCCCTAAGCCTTATAATACAACGGTCTATCAGTGCATTACATGGTAAATCCTCATTCTAATAAAAAGTATTACATATTTTAACGTAATCGAAAATATCATTATTAAAATAATTTACGGGATCAAAAGGTTATCTTTCCTTCAGATCCTTAATCTTTAATTTCTTCATCTCTTAAGAATGAACACGAACATGAATATTAGATCGACTGCGTGGATCCGTTTTCATTCATGCGATAGGATTCAATTCTATACCGAAGCATTGCGTGGTGTTTATTTATCTATCGTGACTAAAGATTTATTGATGTTCAAATTCTTATCTCCCTGCGTAATAAAAAGCTGATTAGTAGTAATGGAATCACGTTGAGCTGTGTCGCTGTTCTCGGCTTACCATTGGGACTTCTTTTTCAGCACCTGATAAAGGAAGCTTAGTCAGAGTTTTCTTACAACGTTTAAAGCCAGCCTACGGAATAAAACACATTTTAATATGTTGTACAACTGAGTTTTCTAAGATTTTTAAATTTATTTTAAAACTGGGGGAAATGGTGGAAAGAAAGGGTGTTAACGCCCCTTTTCATTAAGTTTTTAAATATTCAAATGTATCGTTTACCGTTGACGAGTTTTTCATCACACACCCTTTTTATGCCTTAGAAAAATCTGTTGTAGAACATATCAAAATATGGTTCTCCTCCGGAGCCCGGCTTTAAATTAAAAATCGTGCAAAGCATTATTAGAAATTTCATAGTTTTGCCGACTGTTCAATTGTGCTGTACCATTGATTTCACAGATTGGATGACAATTTACGAATAATTCGCCCATTAGTCCTGGATTCTGCGAACAAATATACAGACTCAGATTTAAAGGTCAATGCAGTCCTAAAAGGTCAAAATAGAAATGTGATGAACTTTATCCCATTTCCACATTTTGATGTTATTGTTTTTAAGCCTGCATTATCCTTACGGAAGGAACAATCTCCATCTTCGAATTATGTCGCTATGTGCATACAAACTTCTTTGATAACACCTATAGAACTCCTACCCGCAACCTTTTTAGCCCATGACCCAAAATATATCTCAGCCACTCAGACGTGATCCATCAAAATCCGAAGGCAAATTTCCACCTGAATTTCATAGTAAAATTATTGAATATGATTTTTTTTTAAAATTTAGTCAATAAATCAATCTGTCGTTTTATACGTGCTAGGGATAGCGTTTATCAGAAGAACCACCCACTTAATTCTTTTGGCAATTAGTTAAAAAGTACTATCACCCACAAAATTAATATAAAATCCCTAAAAATGAAGAAACAACTTTGAATTGAATTACACATTTAACAAAACCATGCAAGTTATTAAATCTTTCAATAAGTTGAAGATTTTTAAAAATGATTGATTTACGGACATTTTATTATACATAAATTTATGGGTCATGCGAAGACTTAGACACATTAAATTTAAGAAAATACTGTTTCCTCATTAATAATTTTTTAACTGAAAGCCAAACACATTGCAATGAACAAAACTAACACTTTCAGGTAGTCATACCTAAAGTACAGAATAATGTTTTGATAATATACTTTTTAACACCCAAAAGTAAACTGACACACATGCCACACTTCAATTGCACTATTGTTTAATGGAATTTGATTTCTTTTTAACAATCTAAATTCAATTCAATTAAATTCAACTTCAGAATATCATATCCATAGCACGAAACACTATTAATAACAAAAGAGATTATGTGACCCATCAACATTTTTTTCCACCACCCAAACATTGGTTTGAGACCCATAGGTTGCGGAATGGTGCTGTAGACAATCCCAGTGAGTGGGATCACAATGAAAATTCACCTTTAAGATGAATTATTTCAGTCGTTAAATGAGTAGTTTTATTCATTCATTTGTACCTTAATCTAAATATACAACTTTGATTTGAAAGTTCTTTTGTGTTTCATATGTGTTTGATGGCATCACATACGGATCCAGGAATTGAAAAATTAGAGAGGGCCCGGGAAGGTACATTCGCAGATGGAGGATCCATCTCGGATCCTAAACTTGCCCTCCAATGACTATTTATGTTGCAGTGAAAGCTTTTTAGCTTTTGTCAGCACTGGTAATTATAGTCTACTACTTGTTTAGTATGGTGGTACACCTGACAAGCATATACTACTATTAATTTTTTGTTGCGAAAAAAAACCAAAAAACATATTTACACTTTTTTTTTTCATTTCAGAGTAATAAACGGCGGTAAAACAAGGTGCAATGAAGATCAAGCTATAGCTTGCCATTTTAAATTGAAAGCAAAATTAATGGAGCACATTAATCCAACAACTCCAGAAGGCATTGATGTCAGCTCCAGTGAAATTGTAAGTATCCCTTTAATGAGTTGAGTCGTAGGTCAAATTTCGTCACTATTATATCTAGTTGTCTAAACCTTATAGTTCCTAAGCTTTATAGTTATAATTAATTAATTTTTTTTTCTAAATTCTCATCTAACAAGTAGATAAGATTTTCGATGGTATTATTAGCCAAGAGTTGCTGACTCTATGTTCCGAAAGTGGTTTTCTTGTACAGTGTTTATGGAGGAAGGGGACGTCTAACTCCCCTCTCCCACTATCAATACCCATGAATGTCAAATATGTTTCAAGGAAATAATGTAATATAAAGAAAGCAAAATTAAGTAAGATATGATTCTGAAATGTTGAACTTTTTTTTAAGATTATTCTTAAAAATGTGAAAACAACTCTTGTATAGATTAGGTTTCAGGATCAATAAATTAATAAAGAAATGTTATTTTTTGTATAGAACTGATAATTAGATAATTCAATTATGCAGATCTGATTTTTGTTTTTGTTTACATTTTATTTTATTAAAAACAATAGGGCAAATTACTGTACATATTTTCATTTGTAAAGCAAAATAAAATAAAGCAACTCATTGCTGCCCATTTTAGTTAATCCTAAAATCTTGGATGGGCTCCCAACCCCTTGGCACCCACATCAACAGTCCCATTTCCTGGCAACCACCCGACGTCTTTCTATGATGTTCACAACTTGACGAGGCACTCGCAATGGATTTGCTTAGCCTACCACCAACAATCAGCAAATTACAAATCACGTAAAGTGAAGACTACAAATATTATACTATGATGAAACAATGAAAACAAACTACTCAAATTCCAGACCACACATTACTGTTCATGGACTTCAGCCAATGTTTCTGCTCTCAATACCTTGTGCATCAGACGCCAACTTCGTGAAGGTATCTGTTATTTTCTGATACTTCGGTTTGTGTAACAGTCGACCAATCATTCAGCTGTTGATAAGACGGAACGAGTTATGTTTACACTTCCTCGCTAATTCAACACTGATGACTCTCTAGGTCATTCGGGTCGTTGGTCCTTGGTAAACAATTAGATAGTATAGTAATTCAAAGGCATGGTAACTAATTTGCTGAGAGCTATGTAGTTGGCAGATTTGAAGGGACTTCCCTGCATGGTCTCTTACAATCGAGGGGCACGTACGGAACTTTCCAGGGCCAGGGTTAGGTTAGGCCCCTGTAATGTAGTGACCTTCTCCTGTGCTTCTTAGTTATTTTTGGCTTTTTTAAGGGTCTGCGGCTTCCTTTTCTCTGATTCATAATCAATAAGGATTGTTAATGTGTCTAATGGGGGCAGGAGAGGGAATCATAAACATACCTCACCTATTCATGCCCTTGATTTATCATTATCATAATCAACATTATCATAATAATTATTGTAATTATCAGCATCATTATGCCAAAAAAATTGTTTCCCTTTACAATAACAAATGGAGTCAGGGTCAGTTGGTTGGGGATATTGTTTTGATCATTATAATTATCGTTGTCATGTACATGATCACCATTATTATCATCGTCGTCGCCGCCGCCGGTGTTGTGGTTGCAGCAGCCATCATCACCATCACTACTACTACCACCAAGCTTGGTTTTTAAGATGCTTTTCTTCCACTGTCATGATTCTGGGGTCGAGTCCTCTCAGTGATAGGAATTCTCCTCATGACCCAAAACAAATTCACTCCCTGAGCCTCTTATTCTTAATGAGACTTAGATTTATGTCTGCCATCATGCGTAGCAGTACATTTTTTTTTGTTGAAAAATATTGCTACTGTGATTCGGTTTGCTACTACCGTCCTTGGCCCTTTTGTGTACTGTAAGTAAAATGAATCATTATCATCATCGTCATCATTGTTGAATCATCAATTTTATTCCATACAGAAATCAGAGCACAGTTTTTTTAATAAAGCTATTTTTAAAGCAATTTTAAGGATGTTTAGAATGGATGTATTTCTTAAAAAACCTCTGTAGAGAAATGGTCTACTGTGTGGCCCTTTGCAAGATGTAAAGTAATGGTAAACACATTTTTGGGACCTCATAACAAAATACAACTTCCATCCTGTTATTGAGAAATCCTCAAACGATTTGAATGGTAACCAGAAAATGTCAGTCAAAGCAATTGTATGACACAATTGTAGAAATTAAACCTTCTCCCTTATTCAACCACATCCGTTTGTTAATTGCCTCACATACAAGCTGATGGTAATTGTACCCACAAGGGTGCCATCCCCTGCGCCCCTGGGGAGCTTGCAGGATGTAATACAATAGAATTCATATTTGAAGATCTTCCGAATGTCACTACCAATTCGAATGGACAATTGAAACTTGCCTGCATTTCTCAATGAAATTTTAGCTTTTTTAGTTAATTCATGAGCAGAACCGTGAATATTAATTATTGCTGTTTATAGTCAGTTCCTGACTAGTCTTATTATACTCCAGTTCCTGACAAGTCTTATTATACTCATCAACTTTTTCATGGATGAGACAGATCTTACTGTACTTTGCACTTTATTCTAGAAGGTCATTGTATCATAAACTGTACAATCTGTCTCGTATACACATTT